CACCAAAGGTATATATTTGATGAGATTTTGTATAGTGATGTCACTTCAAATATAATTTTCATAGAGTAGATATACAATATGCATTGTGAGAATATACATCAAGCACTATCACTTTCATTTTTTAGTTTTGACATAGCTTTTTTGAATTGCGTTTATTACATTGGTTTTGCATTATATATATTCACAATTCTCTTACAAACAGTTCATTTAAATATACTTCCGCTTATTTAGCATTTTTTAATTTGTCTCCCACACTGGAATTAGTGAAGAACTCACCGATATTGGGGTACTGTAACGTAATTAGTTTAGAACCCACCGATTTTGGTGTACTGTGACGTAATTAGTGTAGAACCCACCAATTTTGGGGTACTGTGATGTAATTAGTGTGGGACCCACCAATATTGGGGTATTATGAAGTAATTTGTGTAGAACCCAACGATATTGGGGTACTGTGATGTAATTAGTGTAGGACCCACAAATATTGGGGTACTGTGATGTAATTAGTGTGGGACCCACCAATATTGGGGTACTGCGACATAATTAGTGTAGGACCCACCAATATTGGGGTACTATGAAGTAATTTGTGTAGGACCCAACAATATTGGGGTACTGTGATGTAATTAGTGTGGGACCCACCAATATTGGGGTACTGTGACATAATTAGTGTAGGACCCACAAATATTGGGGTACTGTGACGTAATCAGTGTAGGACCCACAGATATTGGGGTACTGTGACGTAATCAGTGTAGGACCCACAGATATTGGGGTACTGTGAAGTAATTAGTGCAGGATCCACCGATATTGGGGTACTGTCAAGTAATTAGTGTAGGACCCACCTATATTGGGGTACTGTGCTGTAATTAGTGCAGGACCCACCAATATTGGAGTACTGACTCTCTTCTCCACTTTTTCTGTCATACTGAGAAATGTACCTTTTTAATATTTGTTGGAAGATGATCCATTTATCCTCCGTGTTCTTTTCACTATAGAGTTTATGCCAGTCAATATATTGTAAAGCTTCCCTTAACTTATTGAAATTGGCCTTTTTAAAATTTATATGTTTTAGTATTCCCCATTTTTTTTTTAGTTTATTTCAAAGGACACTATATTGTGATCACTATTTCCCAAGTGCTCACCTACTTGAATGTTGGTCAAAAGATGAACGTTGTTTGTAAGAACCAGGCCCAGACAAGCATCCATTCTAGTTGGTGCTTGTACCAGTTGTGACATAAAGGTGTCATTTAACAAGTTCAAAAACTGATTCCCCTTGCTGAATAACTAGTCCCTCTATCCCAATTTATGTCTGGGTAATTAAAATCTCCAATAACTAACGTGTTACCCCAATTTGCAGGTTTCTCAATTTGCAGCGGTTCTTAATAATATTAATATTAACATTAGGTGGTTTATAACATATCCCAACCAATAGTTGGTTTCCCTTTGTTTGCCCCAAGCAGATATTTACAGATAAAGCTTCCACCTTTTCCTCGTCACACTCCACATGCCTAAGATTTGACTTTAACTCATGGTTGACATACAAACATACCCCACCACCCTTCTTGTTTTTCCTATCCTTCCTAAATAACGTGTACCCATTTAAGTTAACTGCCCAGTCATGTGTCTCATCCCACCATGTTTCAGTTATGCCTATTATATCATATTGTTTAGTGTATGCTATTGCCTCTAGTCCCCCCATTTTGTTATTTAGGCTCCTTGCATTAGTAAGCATACATTTAATATTACCATGAGTCATTTGTACTTTTTGGAATTTTTATCAATATTAATATTACATACCTCCTCTGTTCTGATTAAGATCAGTTTCCAGTCGATCACATCCTTTTTTATAGTTATAAATTAGATTTACAATATGGGATAAAAAGGTGCGCTGTACCTTTAAAATACTATACAGTGTATGAATAAAGTGCAACACAGTGTGAGTACCAGTGCACTTGCTAGCAGACTGGTGTGGCTGGCAGGCCTCATTCTTTCCCCAGTCCCTTTGTATGTCTCTTTATCCCCTTTCACAGCCCCTCTGTGTCTCTTTGTCCCCCCAGCCCTTCTGTGTTTCTTTTAGTACCCATCTGTGCAGGGCCGCCATCAGGGCATGACAACCGTGACAATTGTCACGGGCCCGGCGGCCCTGGGGGGCCCGGCCGCCCGGGCCCCACGTGGATCAGCGGAACTGCCGCCGGTGCATCTGCACCGGGGCCCACACGCTGATGGGGCCCATCAGGTGGCCCCAATCATTTAGGGCCACCCAATGGGCCCTATTATCTTCAGGGGCCCGTTTAGCGCTGTAATAGCGCGACCGGGCCCCTTTAAAAAAAAAAAATGCAGCCGGAAGCAAGTGCTGCTGGGAGGAAGTGACGTCCGGTCACTTCCTCCCACTTTACTCCGCGCGGGAAGGAGGACGCAGCCTGAGGAGAGGCAGCCGATGCCCATCATCCCCAGCCACCCTCCTGCGACGAAATGGTAAGGAAGAGAGGAGGGTGGCTGGGGATGAAGTGTATGTGTGTATGCCAGTGTCTGTGTGTGTGTATGCTGGTGTATGAATGCCAGTGTATGTGTGTGTATGCCAGTGTCTGAATGCCAGTGTATGAATGCCAGTGTATGTGTGTGTATGCCAGTGTCTGAATGCCAGTGTGTGTATGCCATTGTGTATGCCAGTGTATGTGTGTGCCAGTGTATGTGTGTATGAATGCCAGTGTGTGTATGCCAGTGTATGTGTGTGTGTATGCTGGTGTATGAATGCCAGTGTGTGTATGCCAGTGTATGCGTGTGTATGCTGGTGTATGAATGCCAGTGTATGTGTGTGTATGCCAGTGTCTGAATGCCAGTGTATGTGTGTCTGAATGCCAGTGTATGAATGCCAGTGTGTGTATGCCAGTGTATGTGTGTGTGTGTATGCTGGTGTATGAATGCCAGTGTATGTGTGTATGCCAGTGTCTGAATGCCAGTGTATGTGTGTCTGAATGCCAGTGTGTGTATGCCAGTGTGTGTATGCCAGTGTATGTGTGTATGAATGCCAGTGTATGTGTGTGTGTATGCTGGTGTATGAATGACAGTGTATGTGTGTGTATGCCAGTGTCTGAATGCCAGTGTCTGAATGCCAGTGTATGTGTGTGTATGCCAGTGTATGAATGCCAGTGTATGCCAGTGTGTGTATGCCAGTGTATGTGTGTATGAATGCCAGTGTATGTGTGTATGTATGCCAGTGTGTGGATGCCAGTGTATGTGTATGTATGTATGCCAGTGTATGTGTGTGTGTATGCCAGTGTGTGTATGCCAGTGCATGTGTGTATGTATGCCCATGTATGCCAGTGTATGTGTGTGTGTATGTATGCCAGTGCGTGTATGCCAGTGTGTGTCTGTATGCATGCCTGTGTGTGTCTGTATGTATGTATGTATGCCTGTCGGTATGTATGTATATATCAATATGCAGTATGTATATGTATGTTTGTCAGTATGTATGTCTGCTTGTATATGTGTGTGTGTCTCAGCATCTCCCTATGCATGTGTGTATGTCTGTTTCAGTATTTGTATCTGTTAGTGTGTGTGTATTCCTGTGGGCGGGATTTGGAGGCAGGCTTGAAGGGGGGCCCAGACCTTGAGCTGTGTTAGGGGCCCCAAAATTTCTGATGGCGGCCCTGCATCTGTGTGCCTCCCAGACTCTCTGTGTGTCTTTGTGCCTGCTGTTTGTCTTTGTGCCTCACTGTGTTTCTCGTTGTTCCCCAACCCTTCTATGTTTCTCATTAACCCCCTCTGTCTGTTTCATTCATCCCCCCCATATGTCACATTCACCCCCCAGCACCTCCATATGTCTCTTTAACCTCCCAGTCCCTATGTGTGTCTTATGCACAGCCCAGTCCCTCTGTGTCTCATAACCCCTCAGCCCTTTGTGTGTCTCACTAACACCACAAGCCCCTCCATGTGTAAGCCACCCCATGTGTCTCATTCACCCCCAACACATCCATGTCTCAGTAAGTCCCCCAACTCCTCCATGTGTCTCATTAAGCCCCCAATACATAAATAATGAGAAAACAGCACTCTACCTTGGAAGTATTCGCCTTGGTGCCACCCAACACTGTATATACAAGTAGAAATGGGAAATAGGAGCATTTGTAGGTCTTTGCAATCCATTTAATCCTTAATTTAAAACCATGAAGAATGATGTAATAGATTTGGGCACTCTAGGAGCTTAACGGTTTGCCTCATTACCAGAAGCAGGACCAGGTAACTCTTGGCATCATAACCATAACAGAGAGCTGAAGTGGTTAGGATGCTTGGAGAAACTGTTTAACAAATACTACATTGCACAGAGCATGCAGCGCACTGCACAGAGCACACAGCGCAGAGCGCACTACGCAGAGCACACAGCGTACTGCACAGTAATCACACATTTGAACAAAATCCACTGGACCTACTTCTCCTACTTTTTCTTTCTATTGGTCAGTTGTCACTTGATCGTGGATAAAATCAACAACAAGTCGTTGTCAATCAGCTGTTTTCTTCCTCTTAATTGGACAGGAGATCCAGCCCATAGCATTGGCCAAACCTTTTGTTCATTATGGAAAACTAGCCTGCTGACTCCCCTCCTGCTCCCCCATACCCCTCCCCACACCCTTCCCCCTCTCCAAATAAATTCAGCTTCTCCTTCTTTCTATTCCTCCTTTTTTGGTGACAATAACAGAATTACTGTGACGAGACCAATCTCGCCACTGTGCATTGGAGGAGCCTGGTTGCCTGCCTGCTGCCTTTTGACTACGGACCGGCATTTAAATACTTTATTTTCCTATGCAGAAAGGTCTATTCATGTTTTCTGCCCTGGCGTTCGGTAGATTCTCGGATTTACTGAATGAACTCATATAACCCAGATAGCTATGCCATGGAGCCTATTCGTGTAATAAAAGAGTTTGGCTCCATGGCAATTGAACTGTATGTGTGTGTGGTCTGAGCGCCATTCAGTATTAATGTGCCCTCAGACCTAAGCTATCTGGGCATTTGTTGCATGTCTGTATTTTATGTAATAAATATAACCTTGTGTATTTTATTGTATTTTACTGTCTTTTTACTGCCATGTGCTTAATGGAGTTTTGCCTCTGTCCTTGGAGATAATTGGATTACTTCCCAATTATCTCCAGGATAGAAGACTCTGTGGAACTGGTTTTGGGCAGAAAAGCCATGCTTCATTTGGTCACAAAGGACTTCGATCTATCTTTTGAACCAATGGACCAATTTGTATGATTTTGACGTATGTTTGTATTTGGAGTATGCTGATTCTGAAAATGTAAGTTTTATGTGAACGTGATGCATACTTTTCAAGTTATGAATAATTTGGAAAAACTGTATTTCTCTGGCTGTGATAATTACATTACCCATTGTGTAAGGTAATTGTTTCACAGGCAGAGGGAAGGATTTTGTGTGGGAGTGTCTGAGTGTATTGTACGTGTTTATTGGTTTTTTTCCAAAACCCTGTGGGTGGTACTAGTGTGTAAGAATGTGTACATAAGAACAATAAACCCACAGCTCTGTCTGTTCACTGCTTGACCCTCAACACGGAGCTTTGTCTCCTTCTTGGGGGGGATTTATTGTATGCTGTTCCAGTTCGACTGCTAGGAGTGTAAACCTTTCGTATGGTTTTTCCTATTCGGCTGTTTACGGCATTAATATGGTTTCCTGTTCGGCGGATTGGTGTTCTGCAGTAGCTGTGCCTGTGTCTCTGGAAGGGGAAGATCTCCTAAATGGCCTTTAACCCCTTTTATGCCTGGGGGTGCCGTTACAATTACGAATAACAACAATAGAGTTGTTTGTCAATATGTAGGTCCGGAGTTCGGGAATTTAGACGTTTACCAGATTGGCCAAAATTCGAATGAATTGCATTTCGGGACAAAATTTCCTTCTACAAGCTTTCTCTCTCACAATCTACACATTACACTCAGTTCAGAACTATGCAGGATTATTCACTAAAGTGAGAATTCAAAGTTAATTTCAAATGTAAGGCCAAAGTAGCCAAACTGGATTCATAGATGGCTTGGAGGGTGTTTCTGTTTCAGCTATTTTGACCTTTATTTTCCAATTTCACTTTGACTTTTCATTTTACTGAATAACCCTGTTCAATAAAACATTTCATTGAACAAAAAAATAACATTCCTCCAGCAAGTATATATTTTTTAAATTAATTGTTTATTATTGAAAATGTCATAGAATTACATAGTAATGCGATTATAGATTTGTGTCACATACATTTTTTTCACATCTGTCGTAGTGTCTTTAGGTAGATATTGTACAGTGTTTGTTTGTTTGTTTAGAATTAGGTTACAAGTCATTTCTCTGTCTTCAAGGCATAGAAGGAATGGGCATGGCAGTCGGAGTGCGGACTGTACGATGGATCATGATTCATGGAAGGGTTTTTTTTTTTTACAATCTTTATTTTTGAAGTGCAGTAGTGCATATACATGTTATTAACGACTTATGGTACAAGTATGAACATAAAATACCAAGAAAAGCTGCACTTCTTTGTTTTGATAATATAATACAAGATAAACATGCTTATAGTGGTAATGTAAGGAGTGTGACAGTATATATAGCAATAAGCACGATATGGAACATGACAGAACAGCGCTAGTGTCATGATTTAACAAAGGCAGTTAGGAACAGTATGTCTAAAATGGTGGCTTGAGCGGCTATTAGGCCCATGAGATAGTCTAGAAACACATGGGAATGTATAACAAAGAGGTGTACGCTTGTTCAGTAATGAAGTAACTGAGGAACTGCAATACCGCTGAGAATATAGATAAAGAGAAGGTAAGAACTCAGTAGAGCTAAATAGCTATTGAAGATATTTACAAGACCAACATCTTCAACCTGCATTTACTTCTGTATTAGATGATAGGGCTCTGAACAAATACATGAGGTACAGTTGCCATAATCTCTCACCGCCTCTTGCCCAGACTGGCATAGGAGCCAGTTCCTTAAGTCCATTGATCCTGTCTTTCCCAGCAGAAGGATCACAGGCCCAGTATATGGACTGCATGGTGGATTCTGCTCCACGTGCTTAGATGAGGAACTCTAAGTTGGAACTGACTCTTGAATAAGGTGAGGAGCTTTATTGGGGGGATTGCGAGATCTACAGCTTAAACAAAGCCAGAACTCCTGGCACAGCTTGTTGAACCTGAGCTCAAATCTCTCCATTCGGCATCAGAGTCTCCAGACTTATTTGGCACAAGTTCGCAATTGGCTCGGTTGCCATTTTAGATACCAATACCCAGCTCTGTGGATTCACTATGCATCGGACTGTTGTCGGAGTACCTGTCCGCTCAGGGATCCAGTGATTTATTCACACACTGGGATCTAGGGTTTCGTTGGGACTCTGTTTTAGGGTTTTATTGATCTCCATTACCTGATGTCCTCTCAGGAGCATACCTAGAGCATTTGGCACTCAGCAGATCCTATATTTGATAGCCCTACCTCAACTTTAGAATGTAAAAAACACCCACTATTTTTTATGTTTTCAAAAATATTTAGTACACAAATTTGTAAACTGTATGTTAGAAAGAGTTCCCTCAAGGCCCCCATTAGAGACTACAATGGAGTCCAATAGAACCTGGTGAGTCTCTCTAATAGTGTGATAGATAGGATGTTTTGGGATACTGCTAGTATACCTATAATAGAGAACAAAACATAGTGCAAATATTGCTAAATGTTATAAAACTTCCAATGATAGAAATGCACTCACATATTCCAAAAAAGATAAGCGTATTGTGGGTGCCTCCCCTCGATGGAAATAGGGGGGTTGACTCCTATTAATTTCTCCTCCTCAAGTGATAGCCAATGGAGTATCCAAGTCAGCCAAAACGATCCACAAACAGCAACCACAGGAATACTTCAAGGCAATTTATTCACTTACAAAATTAAGAAGGTGTACAAATAAAACATAAAAACAATATAAAAGTGAGATATTGGTCCTACGCGTTTCGTCCTTATACAGAAAGGACTTCCTCAGGGACCATCTATTTCAAATAAAATATCAAATATCAAATAACAAATGTACAGAGTAAACTGCATCCTAAAAACGCTAACAATCAAGCAGTCTCATATAGGGCTAGTCCCTTCGAGTCATTGGTGGAATAGTGGGTGTCTTCTTGTCTTCCAATTCTGGTTCGTCAAAATTTTCTTTCCCCAGGTGTAGCCGCTTTGCCGAAATGTAAAGCCGGGTCCGTTCAACGCTTTTAACCACTTCCGCATACGTCATGCGTTGCACGTGCGTCACGTGATAGAATGTTCATCACAAGGCCTTTGTGCGTTCCACACTCGGAAGAAAAAACATGGCCATGCGTTCCATAACATAGTAGACTGAAAAGTCAGTGTTCTTGTGCCTGGTAATGACATGCAAACAACTAGAAAAAGGAAGACTATTAAAAGATCGTATGAAAGTCCTATAAAGATCATGATAAACAATGAAATGTCCTCTAACAAACAGCTAACTCGAAACATAATAGAGATGACTGAAAAACAACTCCCTATCTAAGTTGGTCATTCATCATATCCATTATAACTTATTCCTAAAAATTTTTTTATTATTTAATTATTAATAACTTCACATATTAACAGTGATATAGTGATATGCTAATATAACAACTAAACCATTCAAATTAGTTGAACAACTATATCTAAATTACAGATCCATAATGTGTACAGTGACATGAGTATTTATTCATCTATTCAATTGCACATCCATATTGTGTAAAGAAACATAAGAGACATGAAAATTCAATTACATATCCGTATTGTATAAAGAGGCATAAGTGGTTATACGCTCCATATTCTTTCACTCCCTAATAAAGTGTTAAACTTTTTTTTATTTTTATTTTTTTTTTTTTTTATATTTAATTATTATTTATTAGTGCATTTATTTATATGTCATTGTAGCAGTGGTATCTTATCATTCAATTAATTCAAAAAGCAAACAATATCCATATCCACATTTAACCCCCTTGGGGTAAGGGTGCGTAATCTGTGAATCCAATATGATTCCCTTTGTGCCAATCGCTTTTCTTTATTACCCCCTCTCCAATGAGGTTGAATTTGTTCTATCCCTATACAGCGCAAACCCTTTAAACAGAACAATGGGCAACTATTACAATGAAGAGGAACTGAATGGGTGTCCAATTTTTTCTTTATATTATTAATATGTTCCAAAAGTCTCACTTTTAAACATCTCTTTGTACGGCCAACATATTGGCTGCCGCATGGGCACTGAAGTAGATACACCACACCATCTGAGCGGCAGCCAATCTCTGATTTAATAGAAAACTGTTTTCCTGTAACAAAACTGCTGTATGATGTGACTTTATCCGTATTTACTTGTGAACAAGCTTTACAGTTTTTGCAACCTCTGAAGCCCTTTGGCCCTTTTTGAGTATTTTTAGATCCATTTTTTAAGGCATAGCTAGGTGTCTCTAATACTCTGCCCCCCATTCACAATATAGTAATATAACATCTCTCTGATACCCAGCCCAAGTTGGCTCTCCTCACCTTAATTACTATTACTGGCTGCTGTGGCCGGCAAACTGGGACTGACTGCAGTGGCCGACTGGCAGAAAAGCTGGCTGCTGGGGCCGGGTGGAAGTCAGGACAGCTGCTGTGACTTGCTAGCAGACTGGTGTGGCTGGCAGGCCTCTTTCCTCCCCCAGTCCCTATGTCTGTTTATTCACTTTCACAGCCCCTCTGAGCCAATTTGACTCCACTGCCCTTCTGTGTGCCTCTTAGTACCCCTCTGTGTGCCCCCCAGACTCTCTGTGTGTCTTTGTGCCCGCTGTTTGTTTGTGTGCCTCACTGTGTGTCTCTTTGTTCCTCAGCACCTCCATGTGTCTCATTAACCCTCTCTGTCTGTTTCATTCATCCCCCCAGCCCCTCCATGTGTCTCATTCACCCTCTGACCTTCCATGTGTCACATTCATTCCCCAGCACTTCCATGTGTCTCTTTAACCTCCCAGCCCCTCTCTGTCTTATTCACAGCCCACCCCCTCTGTGTGTCTCATGAACCCCTCGGCCCTTTGTGTGTCTCACTAACAATACAAACCCCTCCATGTGTAAGCCACCCCATGTGTCTCAACGCATCCATGTCTCAATAAGCCCCCCAACTCCTCCATGTGTCTCATTAAGCCCCCAATCCATAAATAATAAGAAAACGGGCACTCTACCTTGGAAGTATTTGCCTTGGTGCCACCCAACACTGTATATACAAGTAGAAATGGGAAATAGGAGCGTTTGTAGGTCTTTGCAATCCATATAATCCTTTATTTAAAACCATGAAGAATGATGTAATAGATTTGGGCACTCTAGGAGCTTAACGGTTTTCCTCATTACCAGAAGCAGGATCAGGTAACTCTTGGCATCATAACCATAACAGAGAGCTGAAGTGGTTATGATGCTTGGAGAAACCGTTTAAGAAACACTATGCTACGCAGAGCACACAGCGCAGAGCACACAGCACACTGCACAGAGCAAACAGCGCAGAGCACACAGCACAGAGCACACAGCGCACTGCACAGTAATCACACATTTGAACAAAACCCACTGGACCTACTGCTCCTACTTTTTCTCTCTATTGGTCAGTTGGCACTCGATCGTGGATAAAATCAACAATTAGTCGCTGTCCCCTAGCCATCAATCAGCTGTTTCCTTCCTCTTAATTGGACAGGAGATACAGCCCATAGGATTGCCCCCCTCCCCATACCCCTATCCACACCCTTCCCCCTTTCCAAATAAATTCAGCTTCTCCTTCTTTCTATTCCTCCTTCTTTGGCGATAATAACAGAATAACGAATAATAGAGTTGTTTGTCCATATGTAGGTTTGGAGTTCGGGAATTTAGACGATTAACAGAGTGGCCAAAATTCGAATTAATTGCATTTCGGGACAAAATTTTACACGTTCTTAACGAAAGGTGATTCCCTTTTTACTGGCTGTTGATTTTTTTTAATTCTCAATTCTTCTCTTTTCCTTCTACAAGCTTTCTCTCTCACAATCTACACATTACACTCAGTTCAGAACTATGCAGGATTATTCACTAAAGTGAGAATTCAAAGTTAATTTCAAATGTAAGGCCAAAGTAGCCAAACTGGATTCATAGATGGCTTGGAGGGTGTTTCTGTTTCAGCTATTTTGAAACTTTATTTTCCAATTTCACGTTGACTTCTCATTTTACTGAATAACCCTGTTCAATAAAACATTTCATAGAACAAAAAATAACATTCCTCCAGTAAATATATTTTGTTAAATTTGATTGTTTATTAATGAAAATGTCATAGAATGACATAGTAATGGGATTATACAAAGACATTATATCCATGTGTATATGCATGTGTCTGTGTATCTGTGTGTCTGTATGAGTCTCTGTATGCGTATTTGTGCATGTGTACCTGCATCAGTGGTGTATCCTGGTTTTGTGCTGCCCTAGGCATGACAAAACTCATGAGTCCGTCCCCCCCCCGCGCCACCCCACCCTTCCCCGCCTTCTAAATACACACACACATTCACTGACAGACACGCATACGCTAGCTAACAGGCATACACACTCACTAACAGACACATACAGTCACTAGCAGACACACACATTCACTAACAAACACACATACACTCTCACTAACAGACACACACATAGTAACACACTCCCTAACAGACACACTCCCTGACATACACACACTCACACACACTAACAGACACACTCCCTGACATACACACACTCACACACACTGACACACACTCACACACACTGACACACACTAACAGACACACACACACATACACTAACAGACACATACACACACTAACACACACACTAACAGACACACTAACAGACACATACAGTCACTAGCAGACACACACATTCACTAACAAACACGCATACACTCTCACTAACAGACACACACATAGTAACACACTCCCTAACAGACACACTCCCTGACATACACACACTCACACACACTAACAGACACACACTCACACACACTGACACACACACACACTAACAGACACACACACATACACTAACAGACACACAGACACACTAACAGACACACACTAACAGACACACTAACAGACACACACACACTCACATTAACACACTCACTTTTTTTTTCAATTCAACCCCCAGCCTCCTTACCTTTGGGAATGATGCGGGGGGTTCTCCCTTTCCCTGGAATCCAGTGGCTGCTGGGCGGGCAGCGCTGGCGAGGGAGCACTGATTAGTGACTCCCGGAATCACTCTGCGGCACGCGAGGGAGCTAAGCAGAGAGCTCACTAATCAGTGCTCCTTCACCAGCGTTGCCCGCCCGCCCGGCTTGTCAGTTAGCCACAAGGCTAACAAGACATTTGCCCTGGGTATTTGGGGGCAGCTTTTTTTGCCCCCCCCGGAAAATGCCACCCAAGGCAAATGCCTTGTTTGCCTCGCGGCTAATACATCTCTGACCTGCATGTGTGTCAGTATGTGTGTCTGTGTATCTGTATATGTGTCAGTATGTGTGTTAGTGTGTGTTTGTGTAACTGCATGTGTGTCCGTGTATGTATCTGTATGTGTGTTATTGTGTGTATCTGCATATATGTCAGGGTTTGTCTGTTTATCTGTGTTTTAGTGTGTGTCTGCATGTTTGTCTGTGAGTGTATCTATATATCGGTATGTGTGCCAGTGTGTATCTGTTTATGCACCTGTGTGTCTGTGTATCTGTCTTTGTATGTCCGTGTATTTAGATGTATGTACCTGTGTATGTATGAGCCTGTGTATGTGTGAGTCTGCATTTGTGTCAGTGTTTGCATCTGTATGTGTGTCTGTGTGTGTATTTTCACTGGGTAAAAAATAAGTGTGGTTAAGTCTACAATATATCTGTGTGTGGTTTCTTTTGTGTGTGTCTTTGGGTGGAAGGCGTGTTTGCAGGCTAGAAGGTGGGTGGGCTAATGCTTATTACATTAATTCCAATCAGCCCTCCAATTAAAGTCCTCAAATGCCTCCGCCTCGTAGCACGGTATTTCAGTTCGCCTTTTGGTTGGAGTTAACTTAGGATATTCTAATGTAAACATGCAACTAAAATTGCTGACATCTTCAGGTCCGTCAATGGTGGGCACAAATGGTGGCGTCACATTCTTTAATAATAATGCAGCCCAGTCTATGTGCTGGAAAGGAATGTACATCATTGAGTAAATCAGTAAAATAACTATATATTACACAGAATTACAGATAATATGTCCAGAAAGCTACATTCTGTACAGATCCCAATGGGATTCTTTAAACTGATTCTCAAATTACCTTAAAAGAACAGTCTAAGCACCATAACCACTACATTAATCTGTAGTGGTAATGGTGCCATGAGTTCCATGGCCCCCTACTAGTGTGTGAAGCCAAGCTGTTTGTGAATGGTTTGACAACTTACCTGTGGTCCGCCGGTCGCGTCTCCTCCGCAGTCCGGAAGCTTGCTGCACTCTCCTAGCCTGGGGATGCATGGAGGTACTCATTGGCTGAGAATACTAAGCTAACACTCTCAGCCAATGACCTGACCATGAACAGTGCACAACGGACCCCAGGTAAGCTGTCAAATCATTCACAAATGGGAGGCTGCAGTGGTTATGGTGGTTATGATTATAGGGGGCACCAGGCAGGTTTCCAGTTTGCTCCCCATTCTTCACATAGGGAGCTGGTGGGATAGTAATCTGTTAAAGTGACAGCTTCATGTTTGATATGGTGAGATTCCTTCTTTTCCTGGCCCACTAACTGCTGGTGATGTGTTTATGGAGGTAAAGTTAGCAGCACAGAAAGTTATAACACTTACTGCTGCTGCGGGTTCTGGGTGATCAGATACACAAGCTGGGTATAATTTTACCATGATTCCTTAAATGGATGTAAATAGGACACTATGTTTTCTAATCACACAACTAACTTAGAATGTTCATTCAGCTGTTAGAATGAGTCTTTCCTGATAATTCTATCTTAAAGGGACTCTGTCACCTGGGATGTGGGAAACTAAACAGCAGAAACTCGACCTCGTGTCAACCTCAGACCTAACCCTAAGACAAAGCAGTCCCTACTTTATCCTAAATTATCTTTGGACTATGTTAGAATTTCAGTGACATTTCAGTGCACTCAGCATGAGTATTTCATAGATTTTATCTTAACGAGATGCTCAATAATATGTTTTTCTTGACTAAAAGCGAATAACAAGTTCTATTTCAAAATGTACGTACTTGGAAAAAAGGGTGCGCCTTAACGTCCTGGGCGTCTTTCTTGCCGGCTCCTAGTCGTGCCTTTACTTTTTTAGTGAGAAGCTGTAATGGGGAATTTTTTTTTAAATATACATATTGTTTATTTTAATAATAAACATCAGAATTACATGCATTTTCTCTGACGGTAGAGTAACGGATGTCGTTATCACTCACGCTGTGTAATGCAGAGATCAACAAGCAGAACATAACATGTCACTGCTGCCCGGACATTGTCCTGACTGCTGGCATGATTCATGGTTACTGCTTGCTAGCTTCCTGTTTATTATAATCAATGTAGGGCTCTAAATATCTGCAGCTTAACCAATGTCTGTCTGTAACCCAGGTATGGATAGCGGAGGGGGGCAGGTGTTTCCCCCCAAGCAGCAAGCCAAGTACCAGACACAGAAAGCACCACCCACATACGTACATTGCTACCACAACACTTTCCTTTTCTTCTCTGCTGTCCCTTTAAGCATAACTCACGTAGTGCAGGTGATGATTTCAAAGAGCCTGGCACTCGGAGCTAGCAACCGGCCTCCTCCCTGTGTTAAGCTCAGTACTTACTTGCCCCCTGCACTTCTTAATTGCCATACCACTTCCTCATCATGGTTGTTATGTGTGAGACTGAAAGCATTTTCTCCTACTCACATGATACTCCTCAGAGAGAGTGGACGGAGTATGTGACACCATTGACAGTACCCTATGCAACCTCTTCTGGGAATGGAGGCAACATGATGGATCACTAGGAGGGCTTGCTGGTGAGACTCATAATGTAAGTAAGTTAGTTTGATTAATTAAACCGCCATTTCTTTATTGATATTGTCATTGTATTTTTGAGACCAGCTAAGTGATATATGATGGGAACTGGCATGGAGAAGTGGGACAGTTACAATGGCATGAGGTACTAATTGGAGTGAATGAGGCATGTGAAGGATTAATATCATATCTGACATGGACACGGATAGAGTGGACAGGGCAAGTGACATGTGCAAGCAGACAGTGGGTAGGGCAAGTGGCACGAGGGAGTGGCATGGCAATTAAGAAGTGCATGGGGTAATTAAGAAGTACTGAGCTTGACACAGGGAGGAGGCTGGTTGCTAGCTCCGCGTGCCGGGCTCTTTCAAGCCAACTGCCATGCACTATGTGAGTGATGCTTAAAGGGACAGCAGAGAAGAAAAGGAAAGTGTGGTGGTAGCAGTGTACGTACGTGGGAGGTGCTTTATGTGATCACGGCACGAGGTGTCCCTTGATGTTATATTGCAATCTATCTGTCTTCACAATAAAAGACTGGGCTCTGGATTTACCCTGTGCTAACTACCCACAACTATATTGTTATACAGGGAGCTAGTGGGTGAGCTGTATGTCATGTAAATATTAAATATTAGTGTCTTATGGCTAATGAATAATGAATCATTAAGGATGTCATAGAATGAATAAGCAGATACTCAGGGTTTTGGTTTAATTCTCAGTAATAATGAATGTTTTGTAGTAGAGGCTGCAGGATGCCCAAGAAACATCTGATTCACATATGGTTAAAAACTGCAGTACTTCCCTTTTGCTCAGCGCATGTGCAGGAATGCTAGATATGTTTACTTGTAGGAAATACTTGTGGCGATATCAATACTCTCGCTAATTGGGTATTATGTTGGGCAGTAACGAAGGTGGCAGACCAATCTCGGAAATGCCTGAGAGCCATATGACCATATATTGGGACAAGAGCTGTACATGATCAGGGTCAGGACCTATGTCCAGGAATGCTAAGAATATTCATGCGCAGTAATGTAGGAAATGAATAAAGTAATAGTTAATTGGTTATTAATTACTGCAGTAATGGGAGTAACCCTTACATATCTCGCTTACGTATGAACTACATCATTTATGATATATAAGCTCTGTTAACTGAGGACTGGGGCCCAGTGTATTTTAGACATGAGTCAACACTGTGTTAATTCTGCGCAGAATAAAATAGTTTGTGTTTTCCACTGATCCGTGCCCAGTGTGTTTATGTGACTTGATTCTTGAAATACAGCTAATACTGCTATTACAGTTTCTTTACCTGCATTAACACACAGATAGTTACATCCAATTTAAGGTATTGAGATATGTGTATGACCAGTAAGTAAGAAAACTGATACATTCCCTCTTCTAAAGATCATCGGAACCTTCATTCTTTTCTACACACTTTATATCACTATCTTACTTGTGTCAAACCATTCATATAAAGTAATGGTGCAATATGTTGGGATGTGATGTCATAAATTATTACTGTACTTATTAGACGCAAGGCTCCATGCAGAGGGTCTAATCCTGATACCTCCAAGAACTTAGAATTCATTCATCCTACGGCAGCTCGCCAGGATCAATTTCCCTCATCAATGGTCAATGGACGGTTTGATCATGGCTCATATAATCTATTACATTTATTAAACACGAAACATGTGTGGCGACTAACCTGTCTTATTATCGAAGTAGCGTTTCTTGATAGAGATTCTGGATATAGAAATTTTCCTTTGATGATACTCGCAGTCAGCATGTCTATATCAAGGCTTTCGAAGGGGAACTAGAGAATAAATACATTTTTGTAAAAAAGAAAAACTCGATTTCAGTTTGTAAAGTTGTAAACTACAGGAATCAACAGCTGAGCAATAATTGAATAGTTTAAGGTTTTTATAATGTTAGTAGTACAGATGGTATAATATTTAAATTAGTATGCATGAAAGGTGTGTGGTGCGAGTGCATGAATGTACGAAATGTACAAGAGAACCGAACTCTCTTATAATATACATCATCAGGGGATGCTCTGTGATTGGCTGGGATTTCCAATAAGCCGAATGATTTGCACACCAGCAGGGAATCTCCATTTTGACTAAGGGCTGGAAGGTCTATATTATATTTTATCTCTCCTGGTGTTTTTATTTACTTTTAATATGGTGTATTGATTTTTGTATTTTGTTCGGGTATAATGGGCTATGATGGCTTTATTTCCTTTTTGGCAGAGACATAAATACAATCAATAAGGAAGACTTCGACAAGTAAGTATTGAGCTTGTTTTATGTATTAGGGCCAAACCTACTGGGCATTCTCTTACCGTACAGGTATTAGCCAGGGAGCAGTATACAGAGGGTCACACACTATGTACACACAGCTATCAAACAGTCACCAAAGGACTAAGTAACCAGGGGCCAGGGGCATAAGATAGAGCTAATTCATTGGAAAGAGATTTATTTCACTATCTGGGAATGGTACAAGCAAATCACGGAGTGGGAGGTGTTTGGCAGACAAATGTTTCTTGGGGAACCAGGGGTCAGGGGTTAATTGAGAGGGGGTTATAACAACTAGGAATGTATCTCTCTGGGGATCTATTTTGGGAAGGGAAAGGGTTAATATGCAGGGGAATATTGGGATGTAATATTAATATTGCAATACCAAAATAAAAACAGCTTGCAAAAGCTACAGATATCTTAACTGCCGCCTTTACAAACCCTCCCCTTCTAACCCCGCCCAGACTTTCTGTGAATGTCCAATCACAGACCTCCCAATGCAGCTCAATGAGAAGTCTTTGCCAGGCAGGTGCTCTGGGCCATTGCTGCCTCTTGAGTTTATCTCCCCTGAGCTAAACAAACCAGGAAGTAACAGGGCCATCTGTATGATTGACAGCAGAGCTGTGTAACAAGGTTAATTTACCTTGAAATCTGTGTTTTATAAAATGAAAATGGACACTGTGTAAATAAAACATTTCAGCAAGCTACAATGCTTTAGGTGTGTGGAGTGCTCCTTTAAATTGGTAGAGTCTCTTTGGATTTGCAGAAAATAAATCTGTTTACAAATTCCTGTTGAAAGACTGTTCTTACCTTTCCAGACAGCATTGCATAAATGACCACCCCAACGCTCCACCAGTCTACAGCTCTTGTGTACGGCTTGCCCTTTAAGACTTCAGGAGCTGCGTAAAGCGGTGTTCCCCAAGGGGTTCCGGTTGTGTCTCCGTATCCGATTCCTCCGAAATAAGGAAAACAGAATTGGGTATAAGTTGAAGATAGATATTCAGTTTTAGCAAATTCTATTTGGAATGACTTTCAGTTAGACTGATCTGTAATCTTAATTGAACATGCTAACGGGTTAGCTCACGTCTGATGACATGTTTCTGTATTGGATCTGATATTCCTATAAGAATATAAATTAATAGATATTGCTGAGATTGTTATTCAGTGGAGCTTGAATTCACTCCATAAACCTTTACCCAGCAGGAGTTTATGGGATGCTGTCAGACACGGTTCTCCATGTTGGTAACCACAGGGGGGGGGGAAATATAAAGGACTAAAGCAGTAGCCCAATCTCCTTTAATAATTTCAATTAGAATAATTGGGGGTTTGCCTACCTGGAGCCCTATGCATAGTGTCTCACCCTCTGCCCTCCCAGTAATATCTCCTTCTGTTCCTCCCCAGTGTGTGTGCTGGCTGTGTGTAATGTGTGTGTGCATCCGACACTGCCTGCTCAGCCCTGGATAGAGACTGAGTAAAAACATTTTAGCTTAAAAGGGGGGCCGCATAACCTGAACGACCCCATGGACACTTTAAATTAAAAATAAATACTTTTACCGTTACAGAGTTTCTTTTGGAATGAAGCACACATTTTATACACATCATTTTATATATTAAAAGGTTGTTTATATGAAAGCTAGCTCTGACATTGCCGGGACATTTTGACCTTACTAAGTGAGAATACCTTTATCAAAATGTATGTTTTGATTATAAAATTATATTTACCTTCTTTGCAAAGACCAAAGTCTGTGATCTTTGCGAAGCCTTTTTCGTCTAGAACAATATTCTCTAATTTCAGGTCTCTAGATTAAAATACAGAACATTACGTTTTATTCATTTTACATAACACTAGAGGCACTTAGGTTTACGATTCACTCTTTAGGCTATTTAAATGGTTAACATGAATAACTTACTACTACAAACAGGGTTAAATACCATAGGCGTGTGCACAGGGTGTGCCGGGTGTGCCTAGGCGCACCCTAATCCCCGCGGCACTCCTATGGAGTGAGACCGGCAGGGGAGATTTCAGGATCCCCCCTGTCGGCTCATGCAGGGCCCACGCTATCCGAGCGCCGGCTTTGCTTTCAGCCTCCCTCCCCACTGCAGCATGGAGGGAGGCAGGAGAGGACCCGGGGAGCTCAACAAGCAGCTCTGCCGGGTTCCTCTCGCAAGTTCTGAGCCCCACAGGGGCTAGAGTTCCCTCTCCACTGGACCACCAGGGGAAGCAGCAGGAACAAGAATCCCCCCTCCCTACATAAGGTAAGAAGGGAGTGGGGATATTAAGTAATGTACCCCCACCTCCACCCCCCACAATCACCCACACACATACAGCACCCACACAGCACCTACACACATACAGCACACACACAGCACCCACACAGCACCCACCCACATACACACAACACCCACACATACAGCACCCTCACACGCATACAGCACACACATACAGCACCTTCACACATACAGCACACACATACAGCACCCTCGCACATACAGCACCCTCAAACACACAGCACACTAACAGGACCCTAACAAACACACACACAAACACAGCACACAAACAGTATCCACACACACACAGCACACAAACAGCACCCTCACACACACACAGCACCCTTACACACGCAACACCCTCAAACCACCCTCATGCAGCACACACACAGCAATGTGTGTGTGTATATATATATATATATATATATATATACACACACACAGACATACATATACACGCGGCGTGTGTTTGTGCTTTAGGGTTCACACCCTAATGCAATAGGCTGCGCACGCCTATGTTAAATACAATAACACAAATATTACGGACACTCCATGTGTAGTTTTTTTCTATAATCTTACCGGTGGACGATCTTCTGTTGGTGTAAGAACTCCAGTCCCAGGACGACACAGGCAGAATAAAATCTGGGAATAATAAATAAATCTGTTACTTTCTAGAAGATGAAGTGTTTTATTACTAACTGGTTTAATTCCGTATATTCCAAGTCACTCTGTGTTCTGACATATTGCATTAATTCCCAGGTTTCCTTCTGCTCTCTCACTGCTGGTGACTGGTTCCATTCACCAATGCCGATGCTTCCAAGACCGTAAGCTATAGTTGGTGCACACAGCGGTGTATGTAACGGCACTGATACAGCATTGGACACATACAGCAGGCAGATATACAGCAGCCCATGGGATATACATCACGTTATACAGTATGAAGTCGTTTTTAATATGTTTGTTAATGGCTAATCATGTTTACACTCGATCTAAAACCCACAGAGCTAGCTATCTTTGAACATTGGATTAGACCTGCAGCTTATACTCACACAGCTCTGGGTTCTGGAAATGGACCTTGCTTGAGGTGTGTCTTTAGGTCGCCCCCAGCAGCATATTCCATCACAAAAACGGCGTGATCTTGAGTGTGGAAACTGCCAAACATGTTAATTAGAAATGGGTGACGCCTGTTGGTCACAGCTTGAAATACCCGCTTCTCAATCAGAAGGCTGGAAAGGAAAAATAAAAGTTAAAAGTCATTTTCCCCCGATCTCCAAAACAAATTGACAAACAAAAGACAGAAAACATGACCTTTTCTTTCCAAAAACCATTAATTGTTCTTCATTTACTGACCAATCGAGTATTGATGATGATTCTATGTCTCCTTTTCTTATTACTTTCAAGGCATACATATTGCCTGTGTCCTTGTATTTAGCCAGCAGAACCTGAAATTAAAATGAACAAATTGTTGTGCTGCATCTGTTAAGACATCCGTTATATCGAACTAGAATTGGAATTCCATCTTAAACTTACTTTCCCGAAGCTCCCTCTACCGAGCACTGAGCGGAGCTTGAAGTCCTCCATGGTGAGAGGAATCCGGAGACGAATACTGCCAAGAAAGGAAAACATTCAGAAATTATTTAAATTGTCCCAAACACCACTCACAATAAAAAAGACTTAGAATAAAAGGCTCCTGTAACACAGGTAAGTAATCATACCGCACGTCTGGTGTTGGGTTTGTAATCATTTCTTTGCTATCGCTGGTATATTCGTGGCCTTCTCCAAAATCCTAGAAAGGAAAACCATACATGATAAAAGGATTTCTTGTGTTACCTATCTGCAATGTATACCACTGAATAACACACTAAAAGCATTTCCCCTGAGATTCTCTGTTTACCTTTAATGATTTAGGAAATGGCAAAGGATGAGAAATAGAAGCATTGTCTAATGTCTACTCTCTCGCTATGTTTTCTCTATCGGAGGTTATATTAATGATTGACAGGGAGTTACAAGAACTACAAGAACCAGATTTAGCTCGAGTTCAACCATCAACGTCGGCATAGGGGACATGTGGACCAGCCAAGCCCTTATTTGTCCAAAAGTTCCTAAATGGTCTAACAAAAAAATAAGTGGGCTAATATCCACAGAATCATTGCACCATAACTACATTACTGTGCTATAATGGTTATTGTACACAGAGTGATCATTTTTTGATGAAGTTTAGAGGTAAAGAACAACCAGCACATCGGAGAGCTTTACCTGAGCCAGGAAATCCGGGAACTCAATATAAATTGAAATCTCAGGCAGAATGCTATATAAAAAAGTCTGACTTGGAGCAGGAGTAGCGTCTAAGTGAAGTTCCACATCCGGTAGGACAATTGGTTTCATAGAGAAGAGTTGAAAATCGCTATCAGAAGGAAGAAAATTATAGTTTATCTAGTTGTCATATCACTATACTCATTATATCTTAGACAATGATGCTGCTATATTCAAGACATTATTTAACCCCCACAACAGACATATAGATAATCAGCAGGTATGGTGGTATAAACTGAGATGGATTCAGGTCCTAACAACATTGATGAGAAAGATGTAAAGTGAATACCCAGCCGGCTCTGGCTCCTGTGTGTCCGTCACCAACATCGAAGGGTCAGCAGTATTAATGTCCGTCTCCGTAGCTGGTAACGATGGTTGTTCTGTAAAGATTGGGATATAATGTAAGTAATGTATATTATACACGGTGAATAATAATACTTCAATAATTCTAAACTCAATGCAACAGAGAATCAAGCAAACATCACTATAACCAAGCCTAGACTTTATGATATTTAATTTATAAAATAATATAAAATGTATTTGCACCTTCTCATTACTCCCTTTACCTCCCACTTCTAAGAGGAAATGCAAAGACAAAGCAATTGGAAGATACAGCTGTACATTTCCTCATAAAACCTTGGAGTGTAGACATTTATGGGATACGTACAGATCTCTTATACCTCCTTGTAAGATAGTTAAAGCTTGATGTGGTTATGGTACAACTCCTGCCCTGGCACCCCATTATTAGACGTCAGGTGCCGCTCCCTGCGTCCACTACCTAAACAGGAACTTCTCAGGACTCCTTACAAAGCAGCCACCAGGGCACTACTGACACGTAACAATAATGACCTGTAGTGGTTAGGTGCTCGGATTGTTTCTTTAAAGTTTAGTCACATCCATGAACTCTGTACCTCCACAGGTGACTTATGGATCACTATATATAAAAGCAGTCAGCACCCAGAATATTTCATGGCCCAGACACACAGCCAAACTCTAAAAACTAAAACTCACAAAAATATAAAATACGTGTTCATTGTTACCCATTAATATTCTTTCAAACTGCATACGAGGACAGAACGTTTACCTTTTATAAGTGACTGGATTCGACTGCGCAACCTGGCTATTTTATTCTCGCAGTCCTGACGTTTTTCCAGGACAGCAGCAATATGGTGGACATTCTGTAACAGTAATAAGAATAGTCAGATAGCTGATTAAACTGTCTGGAGAAATATAGGATTAATTAACCTCATTCTAGGAAATAAACTACTTACAACCCAGGATACATGTGGATGAGGATTTGTTCTCATTGATCTCAAACAATGATTTTTACCCAGATATTGAAGTATTATTAAGTCAGTTCCAGGCAATCCCTGTACATAACATGCAGGGACTATAAATCCAGTTCACTTTGTTTCTCTTTCAGTATACGAGAGCCTTTATGGCTCAAAATACAGCAGCGAAATTCTTGCATCTCGGGGGAAAGGCACAAGGCACACTATAGTGCTTCCTTGCAGGCAGACTGAATTATAGACACACATTATGGAAGAATAATCTTTAAAATCAGAAATAAAACAATAAAAAACATGCATCCTTTCTACTTAGAATTTAGAAAAGTGCTTCAGGGGTGATTGAGAAAAGCCTTCAACTATTTCACTGTGAGAGATCTCGGGAAATCTAGTTGGTAATTTGTATCACCTCCCTGTGAGGGTGTAAAAGGCATGTCGTGTAAAAGGTGGAAGAGCGTTTTGGGAGTTTCCCCTCCCCCATCAACAATTTTAAAAAATATTATTTTTTATTAAACTCAATTTCAATGTATCAGACTTACTTTGGGAGGATCATTGGAATAAGCTTTGATCAGATTCTCTGCTCCCTGCTTCACCTTCAGCTCAATGTCCAGTTGTTTCTGCAAAGCACTCAGCTTCACGTTGTCTGCCTGGGAGCTGGTGTCACTTGTAGGAGCATCTGAGATCTCTGGACATCCCGGAAATTAGTAACAAGAAAAATACAACATTTGGAAATGTCAGCAGACAGTATCACTTAATAAATAAATAAGACAGTTACATTAAGTAGAGTAGGTAATGTCACGATAGATAACACAGACCCAGAGAGCAGCTTTAAATCAAAGAGTATAAAATCACTGAAAGAAAAGATAAATACAGAGTAAACAACAAAAATCGCAGCTGCTAGAAGTCCCCCGTGCTTGATGACACCATAGGAAGACGCCATGTACATGCCTTCCAGTTTCAATAGATGTCAGTGAGATAGATCTATAGTAAATATTGTATCGACTCCAGTCTTTCATGGACATTTCTAGGAATACTGCAAGTTTGGTTTAACTCCTTACCAGGGTCATGCCAGGTGCCTGTGACCACATCCCGTGTATTCAGTCTTCTCTGGCAAGAGAATGCAGATTGCCCGATTAAGCAAAGTAGGGCCATGCAGCTGAGCTCCCTCTAGCCAATGAACATGGTCCATTAATGGCCATGCTTTATTTTATAGGGACATCCGCCTTCTCTGTTTGGAGAACATTGAATGCAGCAGATGTGGCTGCAGGTTCCCTACAGGACGCAGGTAAGTTGTCACACCATATAAAAAAAGTTTGACATCTTACAATGAGATGGTACAAGGATGCTCCTGGCACCATGAATCCTATATCTGTAGTTGTTATAGGGCCTGGTGTATTTCTTTAATATGCTGTATTTAGTTAAAGGAGTACTATACTGCCAGATAGGGTTATTAGGTTCCCCCCCTCCCCCCCGCCACCCTTTAGGGCCCCCTTCCTGCTGAGCTTCAGCCACTTACCTTCCCCTTCAGCCACTTACCTTTCTCTAGTGCCGGGCTCCGTCTGTACTAGGGAAGTCTCCACCCCCTGCCGACGTCAGATCTGAATGCGCATGTGCGGCAAAAGCGGTGCGTGCATTCAAACCGCCCATAGGAAAGCATTACTCAATGCTTTCCTATGGACGTCCAGCGTCTTCTCACTGAGATTTTCACAGTGAGAATCGCGGAAGCGCCTCTAGCGGCTGGATTAACCCTCAGTGAAACATGTTTACAGCTGCAGGGTTAAAACTAGAGGGACCTGGCACCCAGACCACTTCATTGGGCTGAAGTGGTCTGGGTGCCTATAGTGGTCCTTTAATTGTTAAATGTGCACAGGACCCATTTATATTTCTGTAAAACTAACAAGGCACAGACTTCCTCGGCACTATTTATTTAAATCTCCATGTTTTCACGCTATATAATGTGGGTGATCTGATGCCCAATAAAGTCTACAATCTCATATTCAAAATATGTGCAATAACTGATCACAACGTTATGATTTCCTCTTTTAAAGTCTCTAAAATATCCACCTGATTGTAAAATGAAAAAGCAACAGTTATTACTGCTATGACCCACCAGTACTTTCCAATGAGATGTCACTTGTAGAAGAGGTCAGGTCAACAGTGGAGAAACTATCACTAGCTGACGAGCGACTGACAGGTTGGAGAAAGTCTTGAGTCTCTGGAGACTCTGAAAATTAAAAAGAAAGACATCAGTCAAATTACAATGTTGACAGATAGTATGTTCAATGTTCAAGGTTAGAGAAATTACACAATACATAACCTTTTATTAAAACAGACACTTCATGTATTATAATAACCCGTGACCTTCCAGATATTTTGTTTGAGAAGTTACTCTTTCTGTGCTTTTGTTTTTCTGATTCTTAAATCTACAATATTTAGAGAAAAGCAGCGACAATGTGCCCCAGTTATAGGACTATCCCCGCCATCTGACGTCTTTTACAGATTTCACGGAGAGAACATTTGTTATGTTTAAACGAGTGGCCACCGCTAGCTCCATCCATTTAAAAACATGACTGGAGAATGTAGCTCAAGAAACAGATTGACTTTTACTGAATGAAACTACTGGCAAGTGCTGAACTAGACACACCTGCTGAGTTTATGGGATATGCTCAGCATTGTCATTATAAATAATGGGAACATTAAGATTGGCTGAACCTTCAGATACATTCTGCTATCAGACAGGAGTGGATTATGGGTAGGAGGCAGTCCCCCTGTATGGGGAGACACATAAGGTGGTACGGGGGTTAGGAGAGACTCATTACAGGTGTCTGGAAATATATAAAAGGGGAGCTACCTTTCTGAAAATATTAACTTAGGAAACAATCTAACTATCAAAATCTAAATGTTAAGGGGTTCCACCAATCACCATGACCAGTTCAGTGATTTGAAATGGTCATGGTACTTGGAGTCTGTAGATACAGAGATATTTAGATGAGTGTGGTTAGCCAGTCTGGAATGAGAGTTCTGTGCCAGATAATGTGAATTCTGTGCATATTCCACGCACAGAGGGTCATTCTTTGGCTGAGAGAGCTCAGTTGACATTCTCAGTCACTGAATGACTAGTGGTATTGGCGCCTGGCTTCTGAAGCTCTGCGCCTGGCAGAACCCTGGTAATAGGGCAAATCATTGCAAAATGGTTTGCCCATTACTGGTGAACTGGGCCAGGGTACTCCTAGCATCATTACCATTACACAGGGCTATAGTTGTTATGATGCTTGGAGTTAGAATTCAATTATAAGCCATAAACAAGAGTTTATGAGAACGATAAGAATTGACCGGAGCTCAGTTAGCTTGTTCTTTGGTGGGTCCACATTCAGGTCTCATACATCACTTGTACCATTACAGAGAGCACCTTAGGTAGTTGTATATCAGACTGATCCAACCTACAAGGGGAGCCAGATCTGCTCCCTCTGCACGAGACATACAGCAACCCCAGACAATCTTCCAGAGATAATATTTGTGATCTTGATCCCTCTTGTGGTTGGGATTGTCTGGATATACAAGGGTCCATGGTCCTCCCTGTAATGGATCTTCTGAGACATGGGCCATGGCGAACTGAAGGACGAGTTATTAAGTGTTGCCTGTTCTCAGTATTCTCGTATCTTCTCTTTTTTTTTACTAAAATATATATAATTTAATTAAATGACAAACTGCGGACTGCCCCATACAGTATAGCACAGGAGCTCTCTAAGCTATAACTCTGACACGACTGAATGCCAGAATAGCAGAATGAAGCACTAATTATGGAGAGAGTAACAGTAATATGACAGTTTGTGCCCCTTCGTTCTCTCTGCAATGTGCCAGCAATGAAGCCGCCATGAGGGTGTCAGAAGACAAGGAACGTTCTGCTAGGGGAACTATTCCAGTGCTTCCCAAATAGAGGAGTGGAGATAGGGGACATGTATCAAAGCAGCGTTATAGAGAATGTAACACCAACTGGAATAGAACAGGTCGCTTTTACCAGACTGCGGGAGGATATTATACCAAGTTACAAAATACAGAGAGCTTTTATAAAATGCTAGAACTGGCTCAGTCTCCATGGAAATCGATAGATATACACTTACAAATATACACAGTATATCACAAAAGTGAGTATATCCCTCACATTTTTGTAAATATTTTATTATATCTTCTCATGTGACAACACTGAAGAAATGACACTAAGCTACAATGTAAAGTAGTAAGTGTCCAGACTGTCAAAATAGTTCAACACACATCCATGTCTAAATCGTTGGCAACAAACATGAGAACACCCCTAAGTGGAAATATCCAAATTGGGCCCAATTAGCCATCTTCCCTCCATGGTGTCATGTGACTCGTTAGTGTTACAAGGTCTCAGGTGTGAATGGGGAGCAGGTGTGTTAAATTTGGTGTTATCGGGGGCGGAGCTTAACCACGGAACGGAGCGGTCGCATGTGTAGCGAGCTCCGGCAAAAACGCGGCTAATTACCGACAAACAAACCTCTCACAGCCCTTATAATCCTATCAACCGACGGCCAGGACAGAGGGGCAAAGCACTCACCTGATCGATGCCCTTTTTATACCGCCAGACGGGACGGAAAGTACGCCGCACATCCAAGGCCTATCCAGACTACAGGGCCTTTGAGACGGCGCTCCACAACGCGGTCTTCTCCACTGCCATACCACCCACGGAGCACACAGACACCGACCCGATAAACATGGGACGAAAATCCCAGCGGATAGCTACAGGTGCGTGCAAAGATACCCAAGACATTAGCACCATGCTCCAGCGCACAGCGGCACCGAAAATGGCGGCCACACCCGACCCAGACACAGGCTCCACGTGCTCGGAACTTGCCCTGGGGGACACCCTAGAACATCACTCAGCCCAAACTGACCCTGATGCACTGACACCTGCCACAAAACTAGACATTAAAAACCTCCTCATGGAGCTGAAACAAATGTCCGCAGCAGACATGGCTTTAATGAAAACGGAGGTGCAGGCGGTCACAGACCGAGTGAAGACCACTGAAGAAGACATTATAGATGTTCAAAACGAAATGAGAAGCCTAAAAGAAACAGTGCACCAACTAAAAGCATCACACACAACCCTGATCAACAAGCTGGATGCAGCAGAAGAGAGAAGCCGTAAGAGCAATGTGAAAATCAGGGGTATCCCTGAAGAAATAAGTCAGGCGGAACTACCACACTACTTTAGACGTCTGGCCGCCACCATAATGCCACACGCACAGGCCAAAAAATTAAATATAGCAGGGATATTTCGCATCCGGAAATCGCCACAGGCACCCCCCCAAGCAACCAAAGATGTGATCGTACGGTGCCATACCCAAACAGACAGAAATGCCATCTTCGCTGCCCTAAAAGGCAAAACACCATTGGACTTTGAAACCGCGAGTCTTACCTTCTATCAGGACCTGACCCGATCCACACTCCAATGGAGAAGAACCCTGCGCCCTATGACCCGCCGCCTCCAAGACGCCAAGTTAGTATACCGCTGGACTGCACCAAAAACATTATCGGTGGACCACAACGGCACCACTCTACACCTCAACTCCACTCAGGAGGTGGACTCTTTCATTAGGGCACTGGGACTACCACAAGGATCTGACCACACAGAAGTACCCGCCAGCTCCCATATGTGGGACCCCAACAGGACTGTCCCTTTTCTACCGAGGGGAAGAGGAGCCCCTGAGGCAACCACCTGACACCACTGACTGTCTCTCAACCCATAAACGCGCTTCAACTACGAAGCCTCTACCGCTATAATTATTGTTTCGCTATAATTTGACTTTCACTGGTTTTCGACTTGATTTTTCTCAATTGTTTAAGGCTTGGCACCTAGGCACCACTGTAAGGCACACTATGTTTCCCAGGATTATATAATCCACGTAATGGCAAAATACGGCACACCGCTATAGCCACGACGAGTAGCACACTACACGGCAAAACACTCTTAGGTTAGGGCCAATTATAGGCCGCTGGTATATTCCGCCCCCCCGCGGCCTCCCTGGTTAGGGGCCACTAACCACTTGATACCGCACGAATACCACTTAAACACATGGGAAGACCCAGGGTTGACATTAAGTACACCCACACCAAGCGAGCCAGAACCTGGGACCCCCAAACTGAGCCACACTTACAAGGAGTGGGGCAAAATTATTTATCGCCATAGTACATATTTCAAATCACTAACATGGGAGGAGGAATAGCTACTCAGAACCCTACACACATACTGGATGTACAGATTACACTATATCCATACAACTTCTTCCTCCAAACAGGAGACTATGGCGATCTAGCGATAATTCTAATTAGAAGGATGTAACGTGGGAACTTACTTTCCTAATTTAAAATTGTGCAAAGTATTTCAATGCCAAATGTTTATTCATGTTTTCTGTTTGAAGCCTGAGACAGCTGTTGTGGCATCTCAAGCGACTATGTTAAACAAATGCGCAACAAAAATAAAGAATTATAAAAAAATGAAATTTGGTGTTATCGCTCTCATACTCTCTTATACTGGTCACTGGAAGTTCAACATGGCACCTCATTGCAAAGAGCTCTCTGAGGATCTGAAAAAAAGAATTGCTGCTCTACATAAAGATGGCCTGGGCTATATGAAGATTGCCAAGACCCTGGAACTGAGCTGAAGCAGAACAAGTTCCAATCAGAACAGGCCTCGTCATGGTCTACCAAAGAAGTCGAGTGCAGATGCTCAGCATCTGTGACGGACCACCTGGTACTACGACTGGGTGCTTCCGTCAATCGCTGCTTCCTAGCTGTCACTGTGTACCATAAGCACTGCACCGGACACCATAAGCACCGTAGCCCCTTAGCTCAGCTGGGGTCTCACGTCCCTTCTCACCCTGGACCAAACTCCTGAATCCAGCTCCCAGTGAGAAGACCTCTCCTCCACGAGAGTATAACAAGTATAGCAGTATAGCTCTTACAAGAGCTAGTGATTATAGCCCAGGGGAGTATCGTGATATAGCAATCCCCAGAGCAGATACTGCGGTTCCCCCCACACATGAGATGAGACTCTATGTAGAGGGTAGGCAGGAACTCACTTATTGGAAGCCACAACTGGCCTTATATGCAGGTCCCCATGCAAGGGGCACTCCCCCTTGGACCTGAGAGTAGAATACAGTAAAAACAACCACACAATGAAATTGGATCTCAGGTCCAGGACACTCCCATACACAAATAAGATAATCCCTCCTCTGTGCCTGGGAGATAATTGAATCAGGAACTATACTAATCTAATTCAATTATCTCCAAGCACAAAAAAAAAAACTACTTTTTAAACAGCAGTTTAAAACTCCCCCCAAAACCCATGGAAACCCCACAAAAGTTACATCCCCTGATAGCCCCGATCTAGGTGACCAACATATCCAAAAATCACCCAGATCAGTTCAGGGGTTCAGGAATTTCCTGGAAGTCATAGTTTTGACCGACTGCATGCATGGTCCCATGCCCAAAACAGTTCCATGAAATCAGTGCTAACGGTTGGTCAACTTTGGTAGTCATTTACAGATTTCCCTACATGGCCCATAGTCTGTGGGCAGGAGGCTGTCAAGAAAGCTCCTCCAGGAGCTCGTGGCAAACTCACGTGGGAAGGGGAGTTTGTCACAGTGTCATATCCAGAGGTTGTCTTTGGGAAATAGACGTATGAGTGCTGCCAGTATTGCTACAGAGGTCAAAGGGGTGGGGCGTCAGTCTGTCAGTGCTCAGACCATACACCGCACACTGCATCAAATTGGTCTGCATGGCTGTCATCCCAGAAGGAAGCCTCTTCTAAATATAATGCACAAGAAAGCGACCCAAACAGTTTGCTGAAGACAAGCAGACTAAGGACATGGATTACTGGAACCATGTCCTGTGGTCCGATGAGTCCAAGATAAACTTATTTGGTTATTAATATTATTATTATTATGTTATTTATATAGCGCCATCAAATTCCACATTGCTTTACAATGGGTGGTCGAACAGACATGTAGTTGTAACCAGACAAGTTGGACACACAGGAACAGAGGGGTTGAGGGCCCTGCTCAATGAGATGGTGTCAAACGTGTGTGGTGGCAACCAGGTGAGGAGTACAAAGACAAGTGTGTCTTGCCTACAGTCAAGCATGGTGGTGGGAGTGTCATGGTCTGGGCCTGCATGAGTGCACTGGGGAGCTACAGTTCATTGAGGGTACCATGAATGCCAATATGTACTGTGATATACTGAAGCAGAGCATGATCCCCTCCCTTCAGAGACTGGGCTGCATGGCAGTATTCTTGCATGATAATGTCCCCAAACACACCTCCAAGATGACCACTGCCTTGCTAAAGAAGCTGGTGGTAAAGGTGATGAACTAGCCAAGCATGTCTTCAGACCTAAACCCTATTGAGTATCTGTGGGGCATCCTCAAATGGAAGGTTGGAGATTGCATAGTTTCTAACATCCACCAGCTCCGTGATGTCATTATGGAGGAGTGAAAGAGGACTCCAGTGGCAACCTGTGAAGCTCTGGTGAACTCCATGCCCATGAGGGTTAAGGCAGTACTGGAAAATAATGGTGGCCACATAAAATATTGACACTTTGGGCCCATTTTGGACATTCCACTTAGGGGTTTAATTACTTTTGCTGCCAACGGTTTAGACATTAATGGCTGTGTGTTGAGTTATTTGGAGGGGACAGCAAATTTACTGTTATACAGGCTGTACACTTACTACTTTACATTGTAGCAGAGTGTCATTTCTTCAGTGTTGTCACATGAAAAGATATAATAAAATATTTACAAAAAATGAGAGGGATGTACCCACTTTTGTGAAATACTGTTTATAGCAATCACGCACACAGTGTTTTAATGTACCTGGAAGTTGATCTACTTTCTGCTCAAGAGCATCAGGTATCTGACGTCTGGCTCGCTGAAAAAGCAGAAACAAAATCAATTAGAAAACAAAAGGCACTTTGCAAGAAAAATACTCAAACAAACCAAAAGCTTTTACAGTCTATCCCCTGGTTGCTGCCACAGGGGCCAGCGATACTTTTTAAACAGCTCCAAACAAACTAGAAGTTTGTGTAGCATGGCATTATTTAATTGAAGTTGTTATGGTGGCTAGAGGCCCAGGCGCAGTGTTGCATATATAAGTGTTAACCTGTTCTATCCGGTTTAACACTAAAGATGTCACTCCGGTCTCTGTCTGCTCAGCTCAGGTTAAAGCAGAATTTGTGTGAGCAGTGAGAAGGGTCAGTGATTGGCTGAGAGAGTCAGCTGCCCATCGTTAGCTAATATCCTTTACTCATGATTGGCTGAGAGTGTTAGCTGACGCTCTAATCCAGCCACTGCCGGCTTTTCACTACTTGCGCTAATGTTCCCGTATTAGTCCGAGTGGGAGAGGAGAGAATGAGACGGTGCTTGGTGATACACATCCTTAATGTCAGACATTCGAGAACGATTTAACACTTAAATCTTACTACACTACATTTGCATTTATTTCTCTCACTTTGTTTTATATGAGAATATACCTGCCTTATTGCACTGACACTTTAAGTGATTTATGTCCCATTTATTAGTATTTTGCACAAGATTTGCGGCAAAGACCCTTTTTATTTAAGTTACCATAATATTAAAAGTTCTGGAAAGTGACTGTTAGCCTTGATAAACCATTAGAAGGTCTAATTTATTTACTAAACCCAGAGTTCATCAACTCAAACAATCAAGAAAGGAAACATGTGGCTGCTTTAACGGCAAACTCGAAGCAAACTAACCATTCTAGCTCGCTGTAGTGGTTATAGTACCTGGAGTGTCTTGGCGCTATCCCTGGTTTAATATCAGACCATTTAGGCTCTTCCAAGTACCTGGATACCCCCCTCCTCAGCCACAATGATAGGAATTAACACTTCTATATTATCAATGCACATTATAGGAAGCCTGGATGGTATTGATTGGCTGAGAGCTCTGGGTTACGCCCCATCCATCACAGCAGTCCAGGTTGGATGGAATACACATTTATAGCGTAAAATTGTAAATTCCACGTTATCATTATGGCCAAAGGGGGTGTCTGGGTGACAGGTAGAGACCTCTCATTTATCAAAATGCTCCCAAATGGTTTAACAACAAAAAGTGAGTTAATACCCACAGACTCATTGCACCATAACTACTTCAGAGAACATCCAGCAAGTTAGAGCTTTACCTGGGCCAGTATATTCTGGATCTTAACATAAGCTGAAATTTCATGCTGAATGTCATCTAAGAATGTCTGACTAGGCGTCTCAAAGTCATGTTCCACATCCGGTAGGGTAATTGGTTTCAAAGGTAAGATTGGAAAATCGCTATGAGAAGGAAGAAAAGAATAGTTTATCTGGTTGTCATATCACTATACTCATTATATCGTAGACAATATTGCTGCTATATACCAGACATTATTTAAAGGACACCCCAAGAATACTTCTCACTAGTGTTGCCGATTTCTATGTCTTTGCACCGTATAGAATTCTACATTCTGTGCTTCCTGTGTGACATCCAAAGCACTCTCACACCCTGCCTGGCAGAATGCAGAATTCACAGGAGTCCTGCAAAGATAAGGAGATCTGGCGTCACAAGCATGCAAGCTGTAGGCAGCCTTGTAAAATGTATCTGTGATTGATATGCATGCTGAGAAATGTGTACACAGCCGTAGACAAATATACAACAGACGTATAGATAATCAGCAGGTATGGTGGTGTAAACTGGGATGGATTCAGGTCCTAACAACATTGATGAGAAAGATGTAAAGTGAATACCCAGCCGGCTCTGGCTCCTGTCTCTCCGTCACCAACATCGAAGGAGCAGCAGTGTTAATGTCCGTCTCCGGAGCTGGTAACGATGGTTGTTCTGTAAAGGTCGAGACATAACATAATGTAAGTATTGTGTATTATACGCAGTGATCAATAATACTCCAATCATTTTCACCTCAAAGCAAATGGAGATAATACAAAAACATTATATCCAAGCCTAGACTTTATGATATTTCAATTTATAAAATAATATAAAATGTATTCGCACCTTCTCATTACTCCCTTTACCTCCCACTTCTAAGAGGAAATGTAAAGGCGATGTAATTGGAAGATACAGCTGTACATTTCTTCATAAAGCCTTGGAGTGTAGAGGTTTATGGGATACGTACAGATCTCCTTGTAAGATTGTTAAAGCTTGCTGTAGTGGTTATGGTGCAAGTCCTGCCCTGGCACCCCATTATTAGAAGTCAATGCATTTTTATTCCCAGGGCAGCTCCCGGTTTTGGCTAGCAGTGACGGAAGGCCGGACGCTCCTAAACAGGAACTTCTCTTAGCTCTCCTGATCTGAGCCCGGAGCAAGCCCTGCGGAGCCGTTCTGATACAATTTGACTCCTAACAAAGTAGCCACCAAGGCATTCCTCATGGCCCAGAAACACAGCCAAACTCTAAAAACTAAAACTCACAAAAATATAAAATACGTGCTCATTGTTACCCATTAATGTTATTTCAAACTGCATACGAGGACTGAACGTTTACCTTTTATAAGAGACTGGATTTGACTGCGCAACCTGGCAATTTTTTTCTCACTGCCTTTAAGTTTTTTCTGGGCAGCAGCAATATGTTTGGCATTCTGTAACAGTAATAAGAATAGTCAGATAGCTGATTAAACTGTATGGAGAAATATAGGATTAATTAACCTCATTCTAGGAAATTAACTCTAACTACTCACAACCCAGGATACACGTGGACTCTGTGTGATTCTCACTGATCTCAAACAATGATTTTTCCCAGATATTAAAGTATTATTAAGTCAGTTCCAGGCAATCCTTGTACATAACATGCAGGGACTATAAATCCAGTTCACTTTGTTTCTCTTTCAGTATACGAGAGCCTTTATGGCTCAAAATACAGCAGCGGAATGCTTGCAACTGGGGTAACGGGCACTAGGCACACTACAGTGCTTCCTTGCAGGCAGACTAAATTATATACACGCATTATTGAAGTAAAAACTTTAAAATTGGAAAAAAATCAATCTTAAAAAAAAAATGCATTCTTTCTATTTAGAATTTTGAAAAATGCTTTGAGGGAGATTAAGAAAAGCACTTGCCTTCAACTATTTAGCTGAGAGAGATGTCGGCAAACTTTTGGAAATCTAGTTGACAATTTGTATCACCTCTCTTGATTTCAGGAACAAATATCACCAGCAAACGTTTCGCTCAAAAGGACACTGTAGGCACTCAGACCACTTCACCTCATTGAAGTGGTCTGGGTGCAATATCCCCTGTCCCTTATCCCTACAGTTCTTAGAAACTGCAATAATTACCTTGCAGGGTTATCTCCCCCCCAGGGGCTTTCTACCAGACAGACACTAGAGGGACTTCTGAGTGCTTAGGTGACTTTTGGCCATCTAAATGACGCTGTACGTCCTCACATTCTGCATGAGGACTTCCAGCATCAACAGAATCCCCATAGGGAAATCTTAATACGAGAGTGGCCATTGCTGCGCATGTGCATTAGGTCTCCCGCGCCGGCCAATGTCGGCGAGAGAGGGGCGTGGGCAGAGCCTGACCCAGCAACAAGGCTCAAGGTCGCTGGATTCAGGAATGTGACTGAAGGTCGCGGTGGGGGGGGGCGAGAGGGAGGGGGCCCAGTAGTATTCTATAGTGCCAGGAAAACAGCTTTGTTTTCCTGGCACTATAGAATCCCTTTAAATTAACTTGAATGGTGTCAGGGTATAAAAGGCAGGTCCTGTAAAAATAAAAAAGTGTTCTTTCTTTTCAAACTCGATTTCAATGTATCAGACTTACTTTGGGAGGATCATTGGAATATGCTTTGATCATATTCTCTGCTCCATGCTTCACCTTCAGCTCAATATCCAGCTTTTTCTGCAAAGCACTCAGCTTTACGTTCTCTGTCTGGGAGCTGGTGTCACCTTTAGGAGCATCTCGGATCTCTGGACATCCTGGGAATTAGTTACAAGAAAAAAATACAACATTTGGAAATGTCAGCAGACAGTATCACTCAATAAATAAATAAGACAGTTACATTAAGTAGAGTAGGTAATGCCACGATAGATAACACAGACCCAGAGAGCAGCTTTAAATAAAGGAGTATAAACACTGAAATAAAAGATAAATACAGAGTAAACAACAAAAATCCCAGCTGCGAGAAGTCCCCCGTGCTTGATGACATCACAGAAAGACACCATGTACATGCCTTCCAGCTTTAATAGATGTCAGTGAGATAGATCTATAGAAAATATTGTATCGACTCCAGTCTTTCATGGACATTCCTAGGAATACTCCAAGTTTGGTTTAACTCCTTACCTGGGTCCCACCAGGCGCCTGTGACCACATCCCGTGTATTCAGTCTTCCCGACATCTGACGTCTTTTCCAGATTTCATGGGGAGAACATTTGTTATGTTGACACAAATGGCAACCACTAGCTCCATCCATTTAAAAACATGACTGGAGAACGTAGCTCAAGAAACAGTTTGAATTTTACTGAATTAAACTACTGGCAAGTGCTGAACTAGACACACCTGCTGAGTTTATGGGATATGCTCAGCATTGTCATTATAAATAATGGGAACATTAAGACTGGCTGAAACTCCAGATATATTCTGCTATCAGACAGTAGTGGATTATGGGAAGGAGGCAGTCCCCCTGTATGGGGGTTAGGAGAGACTCATTACAGGTGTCTGGAGATACGTATAAGGCGAACTACCTTCCTGAAAATATTAACTAAGCAATCTAATGTGCCAGAAATGTCAAAATTGCATATTCTGTACTTTGTCTTCAGGAAACCATTTAACAATAGAAATCTAAATGTTAAAGGGTTCCACCAAGCACCATGACCACGTCAGTGTTTTGTAGTGGTTATGGTGCCTGGAGTCTGCACATACAGAGATATTTAGACGAGTGTCATTAGCCAGTCTGGAACGAGAGGTATGTGCTGGATAATGTGAATTCTGTGCATATTCCACGCACAGAGGGTCATTCTTTAGCTGAGAGAGCTCAGTTGACGGTGCTTGGTTCTCTTGTACTTTGGAGGTTCCACGTTCAGGTCTCACACAGGCTATAAAATGCTAGAACTGGTTCAGTCTCCATGGAGATCGATAGATATACACTTACATATACACAGAGCAATCACACACAGTGTTTTAATGTACCTGGAAGATGATCTACTTTCTGCTCAACATCATCAGGTATCTGACGTCTGGCGCGCCGAAAAGGCTGAAACAAAAACAATTAGAAAACAAAAGGCACTTTGCAAGAAAAATGCTCAAACAAATGAAACGCTTTTACAGTCTATCCCCTGGTTGCTGCCACAGGGGCCAGCGATACTTTTTAAACTGCTCCAAACAAACTACAATACAGGAAATGAGTCTACTTAAAGGAACACTCCAGGCACCATAACAACTTGTTTATAACTCCCCTAATAGGTTGGCCTTGCCGTGACAGGTGAGCTTACAGTTTAATGGCCGTTAGAGTGGTACTGAAATCATCATTATTGAAACGTACATAGGGATTTAGGATAGCGGAGTTTAAGTTAAGGGTATAATTTTGTGTAGCATGCAATCATTTAATTGAAGTTGTTATGGTGCCTGGAGGCCCAGGCGCAGTCTTACATATAAGTGTTAACCTGTTCTTGACCGGTTTAACACCAAAGATGTGTCTCCGGTCTCTTTCTCTTCCGCTCAGTAAGGAGTGATGGCTGGAGTTAAGGGCAGGGATGGAAGAGAATTATGTGAAGATAGGAAGGAGATCCCAATTCCAGACAACTCATATACAATGAAAAATGTGTCTTGTGGGGAAAATATGTTTTGTGCAAATTGTGTACATACAATAAAGTACAAATGTGTCAAAATTATATTAAATCCATTAAATGCAGTATTTCATTGTATAAGGATTTAACTTAATTAAAATGAGAATAAAATAAAATATCTGCTTCTCCCCCTCCAGTAATTCACATTAATAATTATAAAATGGGTCTCACTGTATTCTCCTTCTGGACCCAGCCATGAATTATATTGGCGTTTGGGGTAATAGCTCCCAGTTAATGATTAATATAATTGGAACCTTAAAGAAACCAAGTGATTTACTTACATTGCGAAGGCGCAAACGTGGAAAACACGAGAAAATGTTTCTATTTGCCATCATTAGCAACTTGATCACTACCACAGCTAAGCAGTGTCAACTGTCTGAGCAGTGTCTAGTGACTGCTGTAAGCTGTGACCATAAAGGGTGATGTCACATGATGTCACATCAAACAGTCACAAAGGATCACAGGTCCCATCCAGCCAGATAGACAAACACACAGACACCAATATAATTTATAGTTTTATATTATTTTAATAAAAGATACATTATATATATTTAGATTGAGCTGTAGCAGTCTGTCTATCTGTCTATCTGTCTGTCTGAATATGGGCTGTGGACAGACAGTGAATTGAAAAACAAACTGGAAAAATTAGACAAAATATATGATTTAGAAAATCTCTTAAATTCAACTTTTGCCAGAGATTGCAATTGTATTTTCAATTCACTGCAATTGTTTGTTTAGTGAATAGCTCACAATATGTTTCTCTCTCTCTGTGAAGCCCTTTCCACAACATGTCAGTAAAATGAGAGGGCTGAATTAATGATGGCAGCTACAGATAGCGGCTGCTCCCTTGCAGGGAGGGGGGCGACTCCCATTAATCTCAGGAAAGACTGAACAGCCCTAAAACTGATAGAGTCTGTATTTTATGTATTAAAAGGACCCTCCAGGCACCCACACCACTTCTGCCCATTGGAGGAGTCTGGGTGCCAACTCCCATCACCCTTAACCCTGTGTAATAAACTGCAATAATTACCTTGCAGGCTTACGTCCTCCCCTAGTGGCTGTCTATCAGAGGAATAACCTTTTGTTATTGAAAATATTCACAGATTGTCACGCATAAATGTTATTTAATTATCACAATAAATGTGTATTTTTATAAATATTGTGAATTATGGTGTGAAGTCTAAATTCTCTAATAAACGAACTCAAAGGTCTGGAAGGGTTAAAACAAATAGTGAGTTAACTCTTAGCTTAAATTAATAAAGCGATATAGTGCCATAATATAGATTTTTTATATTAATACAAATTATTATTTTTTGATTTTTATAAAAGATTATTTTTAATATTGTATTACTCCAAATTTATTCTCACACTACCCATGAGTGTGTCTGTGATTGTGTATAAGTATGTATGCTGTGTGTGTATAGCTGTTTGATGTGTGTTGTTTGTATTATGGCTGCTTGTGGTCTTGTTGTGTATAGTTTTTTGGGAAGGATGTTTGTTGTGTGTGGGCATTACTATGTGTTTTAGGGTGACTATGTGTTGTGGATGACCACGCGTGTATGAGGGTTACTGTGTGTCCTGTGACTGACTATGGGGTGCGAAGCAATGCGGAAGTAATGGTAAGAGGAAATTGTTGGTATAACAGGAGGAGAGGACTGTAGGGGTGACTAAAGGGGTTGACAATATGGAAAACTGTGGGGTCAAAGTAGAGGGGGCAGTGGTTGTAATTGTGGGGGGTGACAGTGTGTGTAGGCTATATTTCTATGTTTAACATATATATTTGTGGTCGGGACTAGTGATGTCCCGAACGGTTCGCCGAACGGTTCGCCACGGATGGCGAACATATGCACTGTTCGGTCCGCCCCCTATAGGTCATCATTGAGTAAACTTTGACCCTGTACCTCACAGTCAGCAGACACATTCCAGCCAATCAGCAGCAGACCCTCCCTCCCAGACCCATGGTCATGGTTTAGAATTTGGTATGTTTGTCTTGAAAGCTTAATAGCCATCACAGAAAGCAAAATTGCTGCACAAAAGTATATATTTATATAAAGCACACATCACAGGCTATTTACCAAAGGGTATTCTGACATTTTTTACGCTGCCAATCTCTGCTAAATAGTGTAGTAAAAAAGATTTCTAACATACACACATAAAACAAGGATTTTTAATGTGTATTTTATAATGCTGATATATACTACTGCTTTAGAAAACCCCGTAATGTGTTCAGCCATATATACTGAGTAAAACGATACCCCCAATCTATGCCTTTGCCTTTATCCTGTGAAGTTACAGTGCCATAAAAGAGACGTGACCATTTCAGTTTTCACAGTGATAATTTTGATAGATGAATTTGATGGGGCAAGTCTCATTTTGGGGCATTGTAGCAGTTTAACTGTTGAATTTATCCCTGGACAGCTCACTAAGAATGCAGCTTTACAATGAATGTAAAATGGATGCTGGCCAGGAGGTGGGAGGGTCTGGGAGGGAGGGTCTGCTGCTGATTGGCTGAAATGTGTCTGCTGACTGTGAGGTAGAGGGTCAAAGTTTACTCAATGATGACATAGGGGGCGGATCGAACAGCGCATATGTTCGCCATCCGTGGCGAACCGTTCAGGACATCATTAGTCGGGACATAAAAGGCCATAAACTGTAAGACACATAAGAAACGTAACATGGAATATACATGTAAAGGATCCTTCTATTCGTGCAGCGATGATCCTTGCAGCTTCTCCCGAAATCCAACTGAAACGAAGTGATTATAGCCCCCAATCCCCCAAACATGAGTCGAGACTTCATGAAGGGGTAAAACGATCTGATTTACTGTGGGCTACCCGCCCGGTATTTATGCAGGTCTTCCACCTGGTGGACACTCCCCTAGGGGACCAGATGGAAGACTGGGACAAAAGTAACACAGTAGCCAATCACAGTGGCTATAGCATAAGCACTCCCCTTTTACATAAATCACTCCCTCTTTTCCATCCTGGAGATAATTAACTTAAGGTAGCAAAGAGAGCCTTAATTATCTCCAGGAAGAAAGAAGCATGGCTTTTCTTATTTAGCAAAACAGAATAAAAATATATAACTTTCTTTTTACACAACATAAACTTTAAGTTCCACATATCCCCAGATAGCTTGGATCTGAGGGCATATTCTAGGCGAATAGCGCTCAGATCCCACGAACACAGTTCTCAGAATCGTCGACCGAAGTTTGACTTTCACCGGCCGTTCGTGTGTTTGCAGCCGACTGCAAGTTCCATACTATAGCTATCTGGGGTTGGCCACTTTCGCATTTATTGTTATTTCCACGAAATCCCGCTGTAATTCTCCAAATAACCTAACAGGCTTGTTCGTATAATCTATAAATAGGGGATTTCGTTACACAGCTCCCCCTTAGTCCCATGGAACGGCATACCTGCTTAGATCCTAACGGGTCGGCTAAGGGATGTCCGGTAGCACAGGAGAAACAAACAAAAATAACTACTTTTCCAGTTCAGTTTGCCGGGACAGGCCATCGGCATTGGCATTCTGTTTCCCGGGGCGATACTGCATTGTAAAATTATAGGGTTGCAGTGCCAAGCTCCATCTGAGTAGTCTGGGGTTATCGCCAGCTACTCTGTTAAGCCAAATTAAAGGGTTGTGGTCAGTCAGCACTGTGAAAGAGCGTCCATACAAGTAGGGTTGTAGTTTCTTAAGTGCCCAGACTAATGCCAGACACTCTTTCTCCACGGTGGCATAGATGACTTCGCGGGGTAATAGTTTTCGGCTCAGATACACCACCGGGTGATCCATGCCATCGTCTCCCACCTGGCTCAATACTGCTCCCAGTCCAAACATTGAGGCATCTGTGTGGACGAGAAACCTTTTAGTATGATCAGGTGCCGCTAACACAGGAGATGCACTTAACGCAGCCTTGAGTTTCTGGAACGCCTCCTCACACTCAGTGGACCAGACTACTTGTCGGGGTACGGACATTTTGGTGAGGTCTGTCAAGGGTTTGGCAAGGGCACTGTATTCCGCTACAAATTTCCTGTAATAACCTGCGGTGCCCAAGAACGCCATGACCTGGGTTTTCGTCCGGGGTTGAGGCCACTGGGTGATGGCCTCAATCTTAGCGGGCTCTGGTCTCTGTTTTCCTGACCCTACTCTGTGACCTAAATATTGGACTTCAGCCATGCCCACGTGGCATTTCTCAGGCTTCAAGGTTAGCCCTGAATTCTGAATTCGGTTGAGCACTACTGAGATGTGCTCCAGGTGGGCTTCCCAAGTGCCACTGAAGATAGCTATATCGTCCAGGTAAGCACAAGCAAAGCCCTGAAATCCCTCTAGGAGCCGGTCTGCCATCCTTTGAAACGTAGCTGGGGCATTCTTCATCCCAAATGGCATAACCTTAAACTGGTATAGGCCAAATGGGGTGACAAATGCCGATTTTGGAATGGCCTCAGGCTCCAAAGGGATTTGCCAATATCCCTTGCACAAATCAATAGTGGTCAAATAATTCCCCCCAGCCATACGGTCTAGCAGCTCGTCTACTCTGGGCATGCGTGGGTAACGGTCCGATCATTTAGCTTATGGTAGTCCACGCAGAACCTGGTGGTACCGTCTTTTTTAGGAACCAGCACTACTGGGGAAGCCCAGGGGCTTTGGGACGGTTCTATGACCTCCAGTTCTAACATGTCCTGGAGTTCCGTTAACATGCTTTCCCGTACTGCCTCTGGAATTCGGTAAGGCTGCTGCCGCAGGGGTAACTGGTCTGGGGTCTCCACTCTGTGGACTGCCAGGGTCGTATACCCTGGGGCTGCTAAAAACATGCCCCCAAATTCCTTTAACAGTTGGGAAGCCTGAGCTTGTTCCTGGGAACCTAATTCTGGACCCAACTGTACCTGGTCTACTCCTGTGGGTTCCTGGGGAAGCATATCTGGTAAAGGGATACCCTCACTATCTTCATATGCTGGAGCGCATACCGCGGAGACCTCCTCTGGTCTCTCGAGATATGGCTTGAGCATGTTTACATGGAAGGACCGCCGGATCCTTTCATTGGAACAGTCTGCCACAAAGTACGTGGTATCACTGATCCGCTCTATTACAGTGTAGGGGCCCTGACAGGATGCCTGTAACTTATCTGTTTTGATAGGTTTAAGCACTAGGACCTTTTGTCCCACTTCTAATATACGGTCTCTAGCTCCCTTGTCATACCAGTACTTCTGCCGTTGTTGGGCGGCTCGCAGGTTCTCCCGAACTGTTTCGGTCAGAGCCTGTAGCCGGTCCCTCAGCTCTAGTACAAAGGAGACTATAGGGGTACCTGCTTGTTCCATATCACCCTCCCAATGTTCCCGTACTAGATCCAGGGGTCCCCGAACCCGTCTCCCGTATAATAGCTCGAACGGGGAGAATCCGGTGGACTCCTGGGGAACTTCCCTATAGGCAAAGAGCAAATGAGGGAGGAATCTTTCCCAATTCCTACAGGTCTCTGTGAACGTGATAAGCATTTGCTTAAGGGTGCCGTTAAAACGTTCACAGAGGCCATTGGTTTGGGGGTGATAGGGAGAGCTTAATATGGGTTTTACCCCCCAGCTCTGCCAGAGCTGTTGGGTAACCACCGCGGTGAATTGGGTTCCCTGATCTGACACTATCTCCCTAGGGAATCCCACCCTAGTGAATACCTGAACTAGTGCTTCCGCTACCGTCTCTGCATGTATATTGGACAGAGCTATAGCTTCAGGGTAGCGGGTAGCGTAGTCCACCACAGTAAGAATGTATTTCTTACCGGATGGACTGGGTTTACTGAGTGGCCCGACTAAATCAACTGCCACTCGGAAAAAGGGTTCCTCAATAATGGGTAGGGGGCGTAGTTTTGCCCTGGGGTGATCCCCTCTTTTCCCTACCTTTTGGCATATTTCGCAGGTCCTACAATAATCCTGCAAATCTCTAGTGACACCTGGCCAGAAAAAGGACTGGGTGAGTCTGTCTCTCGTCTTTTTAATGCCAAAGTGACCTGCTAGGGGAATATCATGGCTAATCCGCAACAGTTCTACTCGATACTTACGGGGTACTATTAACTGTCTTTTTTCTACCTGGCCCGCTCCTGTCCCTGTCCCCCCAGTCACTCGGTACAGTAAACCCTTTTCCCAGCTAAACCTTGCCTGATCTCTGTCTCCCTGGGGTTGTTCTGCCTCCCTCCGATACCCTTTTAAGGTGGGATCTTCCCGTTGCGCTTGCTCAAAGTGTTGAGGGGTACCCCAGTAAGAAGTATGGTCAGGGGGAATCGTCAGAGGGTTATCGCTTACCTGGTCATGGGTTGAGGGGGAGGCTTCCATAGCTCTGGATTGTTGCCGGGTGGTAACAGGTAGTGCTCCTTCTGGACTGCAGGCTGCCAATTGGGACGTCAGGCATCCTAGATCATTCCCCAGCAATACTTCCGAGGGCAAATCTGGCATGATGCCCACTTCTACGGCCTTGGCCCCTGTACCCCAATCAATGTGAACCCGGGCTGTTGGTAGTTTGTGAATTGCCCCTCCGGCCACCCTTAGAGCAATGGTGCGTCCTGTGTGCTGGGTCGGGGTGACCCGGTGTGGCTGGACCAAGGTAATAGTAGCCCCGCTGTCTCTTAGTCCCCGAGCCTCTTGTCCATTGAGCTTTACTGACTGGCGGTGGTGCGCCCTGTTATCCCCAGCCGCTTGCACAGGGTTCACCTCATGTAAGGTGGCCCAATTCTCACTGTTGCTACTGGGTGTCTCTTGAGTCAGAGAGTTGTAATCCTCTTGCACACAGTGTGCGGCTGCTTTGGTTGGTGGTACCGGTGCCCGCCCCCAGCGGTCTGTAGTGCGTTGTGGGCAATTAGGTTTGATGTGCCCCACTTGCTTGCACCCATAACACATTGGAGCGGTCTTTTGGTACCCCGGGGTTGTGGTATTGCTCCCTGGTGGTGGTACCCTCTGTGGCATAGTTGGCGGGCCAGATGCAGGCCGCTGGCCCTGGACCCCTCGGTTTCCATCCATCCGCCTGCTCTCATGGAATTCGTCTGCCAGCCTTGCTGCCTCCTCCACCATTTTTGGCTTTCTGTCTCTGACCCAGTCTCTCACCTCCGCTGGAGTATAATCAAAAAATTGCTCCAGTAACAACAATTGCACAGCATCCTCTAGGGTAGTTGCCTGATTCCCCTGCATCCAATTGCTGGCAGCGCGTTGCATACGAAATGCCCACTCCGTATATGAATCCTTGCCTTGTCTTCTGAGGGCCCTGAATTTCCTTCTATGGGCTTCAGGAGTTACAGCGTACCGGGCTAACAAAATTTCTTTTATCTTGTCATAGTTTTGTATATCCCCATCTGGCACAGCTCTCAACGCTTCGGCTGCTCTACCTGATAGTTTACTACTTAATACTGCAGCCCAGTTAGCTCTTTCCAAATCTTCTAACACACATTGTCTTTCAAAATCTTGCAAGTAATTATCAATATCCATCTCACCTTCCACGAAGCTTTTAAATGCAGCGTAGTTGATTTTCCGCTGACGCCCCATTGTAGATCCAGATAGTGACAATATATCCACAGGAGGTGATCTGTCTCTGGCTTCTCGTGCTTCCCTGGCATTCTGGGACTCTGTAGCTTGTGCCAAGATCTGTACCACGATCTCTGGTGCAGGGTTAGGTCCTACCAGGCTGAGTCTCCATCTCACATCCCTCTGGAACTATTTTTCCTCTGCATTCGCCATTTGTGGTTCGCCGGTTTGATCCCTCTCCAGTAGTTCGGCTATTAACGTGGCTTTCGGTTTGTTGCTTGCCACTATGCCTCGAGTTTCCAGCAGTTCCTTCAATGTATTTCGTTTCAAGCGTTCGTATCTATGCGCCATTCACCCCTTGTTTCAATTCGGTATGTCCGTTCGGGAGGAAATCCCGCTGCTTGCCACCAGTGTAAAGGATCCTTGCATTCGTGCAGCGATTATCCTTGCAGCTTCTCCCGAAATCCAACTGAAACGAAGTGATTATAGCTCCCAATCCCCCAAACATGAGTCGAGACTTCATGAAGGGGTAAAACGATCTGATTTACTGTGGGCTACCCGCCCGGTATTTATGCAGGTCTTCCACCTGGTGGACACTCCCCTAGGGGACCAGATGGAAGACTGGGACAAAAGTAACACAGTAGCCAATCACAGTGGCTATAGCATAAGCACTCCCCTTTTACATAAATCACTCCCTCTTTTCCATCCTGGAGATAATTAACTTAAGGTAGCAAAGAGAGCCTTAATTATCTCCAGGAAGAAAGAAGCATGGCTTTTCTTATTTAGCAAAACAGAATAAAAATATATAACTTTCTTTTTACACAACATAAACTTTAAGTTCCACATATCCCCAGATAGCTTGGATCTGAGGGCATATTCTAGGCGAATAGCGCTCAGATCCCACGAACACAGTTCTCAGAATCGTCGACCGAAGTTTGACTTTCACCGGCCATTCGTGTGTTTGCAGCCGACTGAAAGTTCCATACTATAGCTATCTGGGGTCGGCCACTTTCGCATTTATTGTTATTTCCACGAAATCCCGCTGTAATTCTCCAAATAACCTAACAGGCTTGTTCGTATAGTCTGTAAATAGGGGATTTCGTTACAATACATAAGTCAGTTGAGATGTGCTGAATCCGACGTACCGGTAGGCCTGTAAAATAAAGATGGCAAACTTTTTTATGTAAAATACGAAATTTATTAAATCATTAAAATACCACCTGAACCCGGAGCCGACACCTTAGCTACACCCCCCTTAGTAGACCCACACTGCGCTTTGCGCCTAATCCTGCGCGGTGCAGCCAGCTGCGCCTCTGCGCTGCCGGAAATGCCTGGAGGGGGCCCAGACAATGTTTGAAGATATTCTAATTATCCTCAGTGTTCTTTTCACTAAAGAGTTTATGCCAGTCAATATATTGTAAAGCTTCCCTTAACTTGAAATTGGCTTTCTTAAAATTATGTTTTAGTATTCCCCATGTGCTTTTGTTTTTTTGAGTTTATTTCAAAGGACACTATATTGTGATCACTATTTCCCAAGTACTCACCTACTTGAATGTTGGTCAAAAGATCAATGTTGTTAAAACCAGGTCCAGACAAGCGTCTTTTCTAGTTGGTGCTTGTACCAGTTGTGACATGAAGGTCCCCAGTCACTGAACAAGTTCAAAAACCTGATTCCCTTTGCTGAATTACTAGTCCCTCTGTCCCAATTTATGTCCGAGTAATTAAAATCTCCAAGAACGTGTTACCCAGATTTGCAGCTTTCTCCGTTTGCTAAAACAGCTGTTGTTCCTCGACAATATTAACATTAGGTGGTTTATAACATATCCCAACCAATAGTTGGTTTCCCTTCTTTTCCCCCAAGCAGATATTTACCCATAAAGCTTCCACATTATCCTCCTCGCATTCCATTTGCTTAACATTTGGCTTTAAATCATGTTTGACATACAAACATACCCCACCACCCTTCTTGTTTTTCCTATCCTTCCTAAATAACATGTACCCATTTAAGTTAGCTGCCCAGTCATGTGTCTCATCCCACCATGTTTCTGTTATGCCTATTATATCATATTGTTTAGTGTATGCTAATGCCTCTAGTTCCCCCATTTTGTTATTTAGGCTCCTTGCATTAATAAGCATACATTTAAAATGATTTTTTTTGCATTTTTATTAATATTAATATTACATACCTCCTCTGTTCTGATTAAGATCAGTTTCCAGTCGATCACATTCTTTTTTATAGTTATCAATTAGATTTACAATATGAGATAAAAAGGTGCGCTGTACCTTTAAAATACTATACAGTGTATGAATAAAGTGCGAGTACCAGTGCACTATAAAGTGCTAACAAAAAGTGTATATAAAAACATGAAATAAAATATTGTGCAATATTTTAAAGTGCACTTAGTGATAAATATAAAAAAACTTACTAAGTAGTGTACTAAAAATAAAGTGGAGCAAAGTGCATAAAATACAGGAGGAAAGAAATATATATTTCTAATATGTCACGCCTACCACAGCGAACTTAAATATAACAGGATGGCTGAACTACGACGTGATCTGAAGAAGCCGCCCAGGCGAAACGCATCATCATGTTTTTAGGACGTACTTACTGGGCACCTCAGAGTTTTAGGGAATTTTTTTTATTTGGCGCCAATACCCAGCTCTGTGGATTCACTATGCATCGGACTGTTGTCGGAGTACCTGTCCGCTCAGGGATCCAGGGATTTATTCACACACTGGGATCTAGGGTTTCGTTGGGACTCTGTTTTAGGGTTTTATTGATCTCCATTACCTGATGTCCTCTCAGGAGCATACCTAGAGCATTTGGCACTCAGCAGATCCTGTATTTGATAGCCCTACCTCAACTTTAGAATGTAAAAAACACCCACTATTTTTTTATGTTTTCAAAAATAATTATTACACAAATTTGTAAACTGTATGTTAGAAAGAGTTCCCTCAAGGCCCCCATTAGAGACTACAATGGAGTCCAATAGAACCTGGTGAGTCTCTCTAATACTCTGCCCCCCATTCACAATATAGTAATATAACATCTCTCTGATACCCAGCCCAAGTTGGCTCTTCTCACCTTAATTACTATTACTGGCTGCTGTGGCCGGCAAACTGGGACTGACTGCAGTGGCCGACTGGCAGAAAAGCTGGCTGCTGGGGCCGACTGGAAGTCAGGACAGCTGCTGTGAGTTGCTAGCAGACTGGTGTGGCTGGCAGGCCTCTTTCTTCCCCCAGTCCCTATGTCTGTTTATTCACTTTCACAGCCCCTCTGAGCCAGTTTGACTCCCCTGCCCTTCTGTGTGCCTCTTAGTACCCCTCTGTGTGCCCCCCAGACTCTCTGTGTGTCTTTGTGCCCGCTGTTTGTTTTTGTGCCTCACTGTGTGTCTCTTTGTTCCCCAGCCCCTCCATGTGTCTCATTAACCCTCTCTGTCTGTTTCATTCATTCCCCAGCACTTCCATGTGTCTCTTTAACCTCCCAGCCCCTCTCTGTGTCTTATTCACAACCCACCCCCTCTGTGTGTCTCATAAACCCCTCAGCCCTTTGTGTGTCTCACTAACAATACAAGCCCCTCCATGTGTAAGCCACCCCATGTGTCTCAACGCATCCATGTCTCAGTAAGCCCCCCAACTCCTCCATGTGTCTCATTAAGCCCCCAATCCATAAATAATAAGAAAACGGGCACTCTACCTTGGAAGTATTCGCCTTGGTGCCACCCAACACTGTATATACAAGTAGAAATGGGAAATAGGAGCATTTGTAGGTCTTTGCAATCCATTTAATCCTTAATTTAAAACCATGAAGAATGATGTAATAGATTTGGGCACTCTAGGAGCTTAACGGTTTGCCTCATTACCAGAAGCAGGACCAGGTAACTCTTGGCATCATAACCATAACAGAGAGCTGAAGTGGTTATGATGAGAAACCGTTTAAGAAACACTATGCTACGCAGAGCACACAGCGCAGAGCGCACAGCGCAGAGCACACAGCACACTGCACAGAGCAAACAGCGCAGAGCACACAGCACAGAGCACACAGCGCACTGCACAGTAATCACACATTTGAACAAAACCCACTGGACCTACCGCTCCTACTTTTTCTCTCTATTGGTCAGTTGGCACTCGATCGTGGATAAAATCAACAATTAGTTGCTGTCCCCTAGCCATCAATCAGCTGTTTCCTTCCTCTTAATTGGACAGGAGATACAGCCCATAGGATTGGCCCCCTCCCCATACCCCTTCCCCACACCCTTCCCCCTTTCCAAATAAATTCAGCTTCTCCTTCTTTCTATTCCTCCTTCTTTGGCGATAATAACAGAATAACGAATAATAGAGTTGTTTGTCCATATGTAGGTTCGGAGTTCGGGAATTTAGACGATTAACAGAGTGGCCAAAATTCGAATTAATTGCATTTCGGGACAAAATTTTACACGTTCTTAAAGAAAGGTGATTCCCTTTTTACTGGCTGTTGATTTTTTTTAATTCTCAATTCTTCTCTTTTCCTTCTACAAGCTTTCTCTCACACAATCTACACATTACACTCAGTTCAGAACTATGCAGGATTATTCACTAAAGTGAGAATTCAAAGTTAATTTCAAATGTAAGGCCAAAGTAGCCAAACTGGATTCATAGATGGCTTGGAGGGTGTTTCTGTTTCAGCTATTTTGACCTTTATTTTCCAATTTCACTTTGACTTCTCATTTTACTGAATAACCCTGTTCAATAAAACATTTCATAGAACAAAAAATAACATTCCTCCAGTAAATATATTTTGTTAAATTTGATTGTTTATTAATGAAAATGTCATAGAATTACATAGTAATGGGATTATACAAAGACATTATATGTATGTGTATATGCATGTGTCTGTGTATCTGTGTGTCTGTATGAGTCTCTGTATGCGTATTTGTGCATGTGTACCTGCATCAGTGGTGTATCCTGGTTTTGTGCTGCCCTAGGCATGACAAAACTCATGAGTCCGTCCCCCCCCCGCGCCACCCCACCCTTCCCCGCCTTCTAAATACACACACACATTCACTGACAGACACGCATACGCTAGCTAACAGGCATACACACTCACTAACAGACACATACAGTCACTAGCCCCTCTGAGCCAGTTTGACTCCCCTGCCCTTCTGTGTGCCTCTTAGTACCCCTCTGTGTGCCCCCCAGACTCTCTGTGTGTCTTTGTGCCCACTGTTTGTTTTTGTGCCTCACTGTGTGTCTCTTTGTTCCCCAGCCCCTCCATGTGTCTCATTAACCCTCTCTGTCTGTTTCATTCATTCCCCCAGCCCCTCCATGTGTCTCATTCACCCTCTGACCTTCCATGTGTCACATTCATTCCCCAGCACTTCCATGTGTCTCTTTAACCTCCCAGCCGCTCTCTGTCTTATTCACAGCCCACCCCCTCTGTGTGTCTCATAAACCCCTCATTCAATAACAAACACGCATACACTCTCACTAACAGACACACACATAGTAACACACTCCCTAACAGACACACTCCCTGACATACACACACTCACACACACTAACAGACACACACACACATACACTAACAGACACATACACACACTAACACACACACTAACAGACACACACACATTAACACGCTCACTTTTTTTTTTAATTCAACCCCTAGCCTCCTTACCTTTGGGAATGCTGCGGGGGGTTCTCCCTTTCCCTGGAATTCAGTGGCTGCTGGGCGGGCAGCGCTGGCGACGGAGCACTGATTAGTGAGCTCTCTGCTCAGCTCCCTCGCGCGCCGCAGAGTGATCCCGGGAGCCTGAATATGATATCATATTCCAGCTCCCAGCATCACTCTGCGGCGCGCGAGGGAGCTGAGCAGAGAACTCACTAATCAGTGCTCCCTCGTCAGCGTAGCCCGCCCTCCTGGCTTGTCAGTTAGCCGCAAGGCTAACAAGACATTTGCCCTTGGCATTTGGGGGTGGCTTTTCTTGCTCCCCCGGGAAAATGCCGCCCAAGGCAAATGCCTTGTTTGCCTCGCAGCTAATACATCCCTGACCTGCACGTGTGTCAGTAAGTGTGTCTGTGTATCTGTATATGTGTCAGTATGTGTATTAGTGTGTGTTTGTGTAACTGCATGTGTGTCCGTGTATGTATCTGTATGTGTGTTATTGTGTGTATCTGCATATATGTCAGGGTCTGTGTGTCTGTGTTTTAGCGTGTGTCTGCATGTTTGTCTGTGAGTGTATCTCTATATCTGTATGTGTGCCAGTGTGTATCCATTTATGCACCTGTGTGTCTGTGTATCTGTCTTTGTATGTCCGTGTATTTAGATGTATGTACCTGTGTATGTATGAGCCTGTGTATGTGTGAGTCTGCATTTGTGTCAGTGTTTGCATCTGTATGTGTGTCTGTGTGTGTATTTTCACTAGGTAAAAAATAAGTGTGGTTAAGTCTACGATATATATCTGTGTGTGGTTTCTTTTGTGTGTGTCTTTGGGTGGAAGGCGTGTTTGCAGGCTAGAAGGTGGGTGGACTAATGCTTATTACATTAATTCCAATCAGCCCTCCAATTAAAGTCCTCAAATGCCTCCGCCTCGTAGCACGGAATTTCAGTTCGCCTTTTGGTTGGAGTTAACTTAGGATATTCTAATGTAAACATGCAACTAAAATTGCTGACATCTTCAGGTCCGTCAATGGTGGGCACAAATGGTGGCGTCACATTCTTTAATAATAATGCAGCCCAGTCAATGTGCTGGAAAGGAATGTACATCATTGAGTAAATCAGTAAAATAACTATATATAACACAGAATTACAGATAATATGTCCAGAAAGCTACATTCTGTACAGATCCCAATGGGATTCTTTAACCTGATTCTCAAATTACCTTAAAAGAACAGTCTAAGCACCATAACCACTACATTAATCTGTAGTGGTAATGGTGCCATGAGTTCCATGGCCCCCTACTAGTGTGTGAAGCCAAGCTGTCTGTGAATGGTTTAACAATTTACCTGTGGTCCGCCGGTTGCGTCTCCTCCGCAGTCCGGAAGCTTGCTGCACTCTCCTAGCCTGGGGATGCATGGAGGTACTCATTGGCTGAGAATACTAAGCTAACACTCTCAGCCAATGACCTGATCGTGAACAGTGCACAACGGACCCCAGGTAAGCTGTCAAATCATTCACAAATGGGAGGGTGCAGTGGTTATGGTGGTTATGTTTACAGGGGGCACCAGGCAGGTTTCCAGTTTGCTCCCCATTCTTCACATAGAGATGGTTAATGGGAGCTGGTGGGATAGTAATCTGTTAAAGTGACAGCTTCATGTTTGAGATGGTGAGATTCCTTCTTTTCCTGGCCCACTAACTGCTGGTGATGTGTTTATGGAGGTAAAGTTAGCAGCACAGAAAGTTATAACACTTACTGCTGCTGCGGGTTCTGGGTGATCAGATACACAAGCTGGGTATCATTTTACCATGATTCCTTAAATGGATGTAAATAGGACACTATGTTTTCTAATCACACAACTAACTTAGAATGTTCATTCAGCTGTTAGAATGAGTCTTTCCTGATAATTCTATCTTAAAGGGACTCTGTCACCTGGGATGTGGGAAACTAAACAGCAGAAGTTCGACCTCGTGTCAACCTCAGACCTAACCCTAAGACAAAGCAGTCCCTACTTTATCCTAAATTATCTTTGGACTATGTTAGAATTTCAGTGACATTTCAGTGCACTCAGCATGAGTATTTCATAGATTTTATCTTAACGAGATGCTCAATAATATGTTTTTCTTGACTAAAAACGAATAAGAAGTTCTATTTCAAAATGTACGTACTTGGAAAAAAGGGTGTGCCTTAACGTCCTGGGCGTCTTTCTTGTCGGCTCCTAGTCGTGCCTTTACTTTTTTAGTGAGAAGCTGTAATGGGGAATTTTTTTTTAAATATACATATTGTTTATTTTAATAATAAACATCAGAATTACATGCATTTTCTCTGACGGTAGAGTAACGGATGTCGTTATCACTCACGCTGTGTAATGCAGAGATCAACAAGCAGAACATAACATGTCACTGCTGCCCGGACATTGTCCTGACTGCTGGCATGATTCATGGTTACTGCTTGCTAGCTTCCTGTTTATTATAATCAATGTAGGGCTCTAAATATCTGCAGCTTAACCAATGTCTGTCTACAACCCAGGTATGGATAGCGGAGGGGGGCAGGTGTTTCCCCCCAAGCAGCAAGCCAAGTAGCAGATTCATTTTTCATTTGCTGTGATCACATAAAGCACCACCCATATACGTACATTGCGACCACAACACTTTCCTTTTCTTCTCTGCTGTCCCTTTAAGCAGAACTCATGTAGTGCAGGGCAGATGGCTTGAAAGAGCCTGACACTCGGAGCTAGCAACCTCCTCCCTGTGTCAAGCTCAGTACTTACTTGCCCCATGCACTTCTTAATTGCCATACCACTTCCTCATCATGGTTGTTATGTGTGAGACTGAAAGCATTTTCTCCTACTCACATGATACTCCTCAGAGAGAGTGGACGGAGTATGTGACACCATCGACAGTACCCTATGCAAACTCTTCTAATACCCCTTGGGAATGGAGGCAACATGATGGATCACTAGGTAAGTAAGACCAATCTCGCCACATTGCATTGGAGTAAGTAAGTAAGTGTGATGAGCTATCCTGTGAACCACTGGACCAATTTGTATGATTTTGACATATGTTTGTATTTGGAGTATGCTGCACCAGGGCAGAGTACCGCTGGTCTCTGCTCACTCAGCAACCCACCAAGTCAGCTTACCAGTTACCCACACAGCCGTGGTGAGGCACCTGGACATGGACAAAGTTCTCCTCTACCCAGGTGTAGTAACCATTTATTGTGGGTGGGCTGTATTACTGTTTGTGTGTTGTGGGTGGGCTGCTGGACTAACAAGGGCACTGACCGGCAGGAGGTCAGATACCCTGTTAGTCTGTTTGGAAAAGGGGACAGATGTGACGAGACCAATCTCGCCACATTGCATTGGAGAAGCCTGGTTGCTCGCCTGTTGCCTTTGGATTATGGCCCCATGTTAAAAGGCTTGATTTTCCCCTGCAAAGACATGAAAGCCGGGTCATTTGGTGCTTGCCCTGTTTGAGCGGTGATACCCCAGATAGCTATGCCATGGAGCCCATTCGTATAATGAAAGACTATGGGAAAGACTTTGGCTCCATGGCAATTGAACTGTATGTGTGTGCTCTGAGCGTCATTCAGTAATAATGTGCGCTCAGATCTGAGCTATCTGGGGATATGTTGAATGTACCTGTTTTGTGCAATGGATGCACAGATATATTTTTATGTGTTTTATTGTCTTTTGCTGCCATGTGTTCAATGGAGTTTTGCCTCTGTCTTTGGAGATAATTGGATTACTTCCCAATTATCTCCAGGATAGAAGACTCTGTAGAACTGGTTTTGAGCCGAAAAGCCATGCTTCCTTTGGTCACAAGGACTACGATCTATCTTTTGAACCACTGGACCAATTTGTATGATTTTGACGTATGTTTATATTTGGAGTATGCTGATTCTGAAAATTTAAGTTATATGTGAATGTGATGCATACTTTTCAAGTTATGAATAATGTGGAAAATGTTTATTTCTCTGCTTGTTATAATTACATTACCCATTGTGTAAGGTAATTGTATCACAGGCAGAGGGGAGGATTTTGTGTGGGAGTGTCTGAGTGTATTGTACGTGTTTATTGGTTGTTTTCCAAAACCCTGTGGGTGGTACTAATGTGTAAGCTCTGTCTGTTCCTGCTTGACCCTCAACATGGAGCTTTGTCTCGTTCTTGGGGGGATTTATTGTATGCTGTTCCAGTTTGACTGCTAGGAGTGTAAACCTATTCGTATGGTTTTTCCTATTCGGCTGTTTACAGCATTCATATGGTTCCGGTTCGGCTGTTTACAGCATTCATATGCTTCTCCGGTTCGGTGGATTGGTGTCTACAGTAGCTGTGCCTGTGCATCTGAAAGGGGAATATCGCCTAAACGGCTTTTAACCTCTTGTGCGCAAAACGGTCCGTTACAGTAAGTTTGACTAATTAAACCATCATTTCTTTATTGATATTGTCTCTCTATTTTTGAGACCAGCAAAGTGATGTATGGTGGGAACTGGCATGGAGAAGCGGCACAGTTACAATGGCATGAGGTACTAATTGATGGATTAGTGATATAGCGTAAGGAAAGCAGGGAGCAGACTGGGTTGTTGATATGGTGAGAGTGAAATGGACCCGCAGGTGAATGAGGCATGTGAAGGATTAATATCATATCTGACATGGACACGGATAGAGTGGACAGGGCAAGTGACATGTGCAAGCAGACAGTGGGTAGGGCAAGTGGCACGAGGGAGTGGCATGGCAATTAAGAAGTGCATGGGGTAATTAAGAAGTACTGAGCTTGACACAGGGAGGAGGCTGGTTGCTAGCTCCGCGTGCCGGGCTCTTTCAAGCCAACTGCCATGCACTATGTGAGTGATGCTTAAAGGGACAGCAGAGAAGAAAAGGAAAGTGTGGTGGTAGCAATGTACGTACGTGGGCGGTGCTTTATGTGACCACGGCACGAGGTGTCCCTTGATGTTATATTGCAATCTATCTGTCTGGGCTCTGGATTTACCCTGCGCTAACTACCCACAACTATATTGTTATACAGGGCGCTAGTGGGTGAGCTGTATGTCATGTAAATATTAAATATTAGTGTCTTATGGCTAATGAATAATGAATCATTAAGGATGTCATAGAATGAATAAGCAGATACTCAGGGTTTTGGTTTAATTCTCAGTAATAATGAATGTTTTGTAGTAGAGGCTGCAGGATGCCCACGAAACATCTGATTCACATATGGTTAAAAACTGCAGTACTTCCCTTTTGCTGAGCGCATGTGCAGGAATGCTAGACATGTTTACTGCTAGGAAGTACTTGTGGCGATATCAATACTCTCGCTATTTGGGTATTATGTTGGGCAGTAACGAAGGTGGCAGACCATCTCGGAAATGCCTGAGAGCCATATGACCATATATTGGGACAAGAGCTGTACATGATCAGGGTCAGGACCTATGTCCAGGAATGCTAAGAATATTCATGCGCAGTAATGTAGGAAATGAATAAAGTAATAGTTAATTGGTTATTAATTACTGCAGTAATGGGAGTAACCCTTACATATCTCGCTTACGTATGAACTACATCATTTATGATATATAAGCTCTGTTAACTGAGGACTGGGGCCCAGTGTATTTTAGACATGAGTCAACACTGTGTTAATTCTGTGCAGAATAAAATAGTTTGTGTTTTCCACTGATCCGTGCCCAGTGTGTTTATGTGACTTGATTCTTGAAATACAGCTAATACTGCTATTACAGTTTCTTTACCTGCATTAACACACAGATAGTTACATCCAAATTAAGGTATTGAGATATGTGTATGACCAGTAAGTAAGAAAACTGATACATTCCCTCTTCTAAAGATCATCTGAACCTCCATTCTTTTCTACACACTTTATATCACTATCTTACTTGTGTCAAACCATTCATATAAAGTAATGGTGCAATATGTTGGGATGTGATGTCATAAATTATTACTGTACTTATTAGACGCAAGGCTCCATGCAGAGGGTCTAATCCTGAAACCTCCAAGAACTTAGAATTCATTCATCCTACGGCAGCTCGCCAGGATCAATTTCCCTCATCAATGGTCAATGGACGGTTTGATCATGGCTCATATAATCTATTACATTTATTAAACACGAAACATGTGTGGCGACTAACCTGTCTTATTATTGAAGTAGCGTTTCTTGATAGAGATTCTGGATATAGAAATTTTCCTTTGATGATACTCGCAGTCAGCATGTCTATATCAAGGCTTTCGAAGGGGAACTAGAGAATAAATACATTTTTTTTTTAAAAACTCGATTTCAGTTTGTAAAGTTGTAAACTACAGGAATCAACAGCTGAGCAATAATTGAATAGTTTAAGGTTTTTATAATGTTAGTAGTACAGATGGTATAATATTTAAATTAGTATGCATGAAAGGTGTGTGGTGCGAGTGCATGAATGTACGAAATGTACAAGAGAACCGAACTCTCTTATAATATACATCATCAGGGGATGCTCTGTGATTGGCTGGGATTTACAATAAGCCGAATGATTTGCACACCAGCAGGGAATCTCCATTTTGACTAAGGGCTGGAAGGTCTATATTATATTTTATCTCTCCTGGTGTTTTTATTTACTTTTAATATGGTGTATTGATTTTTGTATTTTGTTCGGGTATAATGGGCTATGATGGCTTTATTTCCTTTTTGGCAGAGACATAAAAACAATCAATAAGGAAGACTTCGACAAGTAAGTATTGAGCTTGTTTTATGTATTAGGGCCAAAACTACTGGGCATTCTCTTACCGTACAGGTATTAGCCAGGGAGCAGTATACAGAGGGTCACACACTATGTACACACAGCTATCAAACAGTCACCAAAGGACTAAGTAACCAGGGGCCAGGGGCATAAGATAGAGCTAATTCATTGGAAAGAGATTTATTTCACTATCTGGGAATGGTACAAGCAAATCACGGAGTGGGAGGTGTTTGGGTATTGGGGAACCAGGGGTTAGGGGTTAATTGAGAGGGGGTTATAACAACTAGGAATGTATCTCTCTGGGGATCTATTTTGGGAAGGGAAAGGGTTAATATGCAGGGGAATGTTGGGATGTAATATTAATATTGCAATACCAACATAAAAACAGCTTGCAAAAGCTACAGATCTCTTGTCTGCAGCCTTTACAAATCCTCCCCTTCTAACCCCGCCCAGACTTTCTGTGACTGTCCAATCACAGACCTCCCAATGCAGCTCAATGAGAAGTCTTTGCACGGCAGGTGCTCTGGGCCATTGCTGCCTCTTGAGTTTATCTCCCCTGAGCTAAACAAACCAGGAAGTAACAGGACCATTTGTATGATTGACGTCAGAGCTGTGTAACAAGGTTAATTTACCTTGAAATCTGCACGTTTTATAAAATGAAAATGGACACTGCGTAAATAAAACATTTCAGCAAGCTACAATGCTTTAGGTGTGTGGAGTGCGTCTTTAAATTGGTAGAGTCTCTTTGGATTTGCAGAAAATAAATCTGTTTACAAATTCCTATCGAAAGATTGTTCTTACCTTTCCAGACAGCATTGCATAAATGACCACTCCAACACTCCACCAGTCTACAGCTCTTGTGTACTGCGCGCCCTTTAAGACTTCAGGAGCTGCGTAATGCGGGGTCCCACTAGGGGACCCGGTTGTGTCTCCGTATCCGATTCCTCAGAAATAAGGAAAATAGAATTGTGTATAGGTTGACGATAGATATTCAGTTTTAGCAAATTATATTTGGAATGACTTTCAGTTAGACTGATCTGTAATCTTAAAGGACCACTATAGTGCCAAGAAAACATGCTTGTTTTCCTGGCACTATAGGGTCTCTAGGTCCCCTCCACCCTTAGGGTCCCCCTCCCGCCAGGCTCTAGGGTGAGGAAGGGGTTAAACACATACCTTTTCTCCACCGCCGGGCTCCCTCGGCGGTGGGGACTCTCCGCCTCCTTTCCCCGGCATCGGCTGAATGCGCATGTTTACAGCAGAAAGGGTTAGTGATGGACCTGTCACCCAGACCACTTCATTAAAGTGAAGTGGTCTGGGTGCCTATAGTGGTCCTTTAATTGAACATGCTAACGGTTAGCTCAAGTCTGATGACTGGTGACATGTTTCTGTATTGGATCTGATATTCCTATAAGAATATAAATGAATAGATATTGCTGAGATTGTAATTCAGTGGAGCTTGAATTCACTCCATAAACCTTTACCCAGCAGCAGTTTATGGGATGCTGTCAGACACGGTTCTCCATGTCGGTAACCACAGGGGTGTGAAAATATAAAGGACTAAAGCAGTAGCCCAATCTCCTTTAATAATTTCAATTAGAATAATTGGGGGTTTGCCTACCTGGAGCCCTATGCATAGTGTCTCACCCTCTGCCCTCCCAGTAATATCTCCTTCTGTTCCTCCCCAGTGTGTGTGCTGGCTGTGTGTAATGTGTGTGTGCATCCGACACTGCCTGCTCATCCCTGGATAGAGACTGAGTAAAAACATTTTAGCTTAAAAGGGGGGCCGCATAACCTGAAAGACCCCATGGACACTTTAAATTAAAAATAAATACTTTTACTGTTACAGAGTTTCTTTTGGAATGAAGCACACATTTCATACACATCATTTTATATATTAAAAGGTTGTTTATATGAAAGCTAGCTCTGACATTGCCGGGACATTTTGACCTCACTAAGTGAGAATAACTTTATCAAAAGGTAGGTTTTAATTATAAAATTATATTTACCTTCTTTGCAAAGACCAAAGTCTGTGATCTTTGCGAAGCCTTTTTCGTCTAGAACAATATTCTCTAATTTCAGGTCTCTATATTAAAATACAGAACATTACGTTTTATTCATTTTACATAACACTAGAGGGACTTAGGTTTAGGATTCACTCTTTAGGCTGTTTAAATGGTTAACATGAATAACTTACTACTACAAACAGGGTTAAATACAATAACACAAATATCACGGACACACCATGTGTAGTTTTTTTCTATAATCTTACCGGTGGACGATCTTCTGTTGGTGTAAGAACTCCAGTCCCAGGACGACACAGGCAGAATAAAATCTGGGAATAATAAATAAATCTGTTACTTTCTAGAAGATGAAGTGTTTTATTACTAACTGGTTTAATTCTGTATATTCCAAGTCACTCTGTGTTCTGACATATTGCATTAATTCCCAAGTTTCCTTCTGCTCTCTCACTGCTGGTGGCTGGTTATTTATCAGCTGATACAATGGTGATTGGTCGTTTACCATTCACAGCTGGTTCCATTCACCAATGCCGATGCTTCCAAGACCGTAAGCTATAGTTGGTGCACACAGCGGTGTATGTAACCGCACTGATACAGCATTGGACACATACAGCAGGCAGATATACAGCAGCCCATGGGATATACATCACGTTATACAGTATGAAGTCATTTTTAATATGTTTGTTAATGGCTAATCATGTTTACACTCGATCTAAAACCCACAGAGCTAGCTATCTTTGAACATTGGATTAGACCTGCAGCTTATACTCACACAGCTCTGGGTTCTGGAAATGGACCTTGCTTGAGGTGTGTCTTTAGGTCGCCCCCAGCAGCATATTCCATCACAAAAACGGCGTGATCTTGAGTGTGGAAACTGCCAAACATGTTAATTAGAAATGGGTGACGCCTGTTGGTCACAGCTTGAAATATCCTCTTCTCAATCAGAAGGCTGGAAAGGAAAAATAAAAGTTAAAAGTAATTTTCCCCCAATTTCCAAAACCAATTGACAAACAACAGACAGAAAACATGTTCTTGGGTGGAACATTGGCCTAAAAACAGAGTACAAAGAGTTGTCATTAATGGTAAATTTTCAAGCTGGACAGAGGTGGCAAGTGGTGTCCCTCAGGGGTCTGTTCTGGGACCCCTTCTATTTAACATATTTTAGACAGCATTGAAAGTCATGTTTCAGTGTTTGCAGATGACACAAAACTCTGTAAAATAATACAATGTGAGCAAGATATTACTTTGCTGCAGAGGGATTTAGATAGACTGGGGGCCTGGGCCCTCAAATGGCAGATGAAATTTAATGTTGAAAAATGCAAAGTTATTCACTTCGGCGTAAAGAATACACATGCAACGTATACCCTTAATGGAAGCGAATTAGGGATAACAACACACGAAAAGGACTTAAGAATTGTTATAGACAACAAACTATGCAACAATGTGCAATGTCAATCAGCAGTGGTCAAGGCCAGTAAGGTATTGTCATGCATGAAAAAGGGCATTCATTCTCGGGACAAGAATATCATTTTGCCTCTTTATAAATCACTGGTAAGACCCCATATTGAATATGCTGTGCAATTTTGGGCACCTGTTCTAAAGAAGGATATTATGGCACTAGAAAAAGTGCAGAGGCGGGCTACAAAATTAATAAAAGGAATGGAACATATCGGCTATGAAGAAAGGTTAACAAATTTAAACCTATTTAGTTTAGAAAAACGTCGCCTGAGAGGGGATATGATAACATTATACAAATATATTCGGGGCCAATACAAACCATTGTGTGGAAATCTATTCACAAACCGGACTTTACATAGGACACGAGGTCATGAGTTTAGACTGGAAGAAAGAAGATTTCGTCTAAGGCAAAGGAAAGGTTTTTTTACTCTAAGAACAATCAGGATGTGGAATTCTCTGCCTGAAGAAGTGGTTTTATCCGACTCAATACAGATGTTCAAACAGCTACTAGATGCATACTTGCAAAAACAAAATATTCAAGGATATAATCTTTCAATGTAGGGTAATAACTGCTTGATCCAAGGATAAATCTGACTTCCATTCTGGGGTCAAGAAGGAATTTTTTTCCTAGCTTGTTGCAAAATTGTACTTCAAACTGTTTTTTTTTGCCTTCTTTTGGATCAACAGCAAAAAACAAATATGAGGAAGGCTGAACTTGATGGACGCAAGTCTCTTTTCAGCTATGTAACTATGTAACTATGTATGACCTTGGCGGTGCGTGGTCTGCGGTAGGAGCGAGCTGGACGCATCCGTGTGAAGGACCGCCGGACCAACAGCTGATAAAAGCGGCAGTTCGAAATTAAACAGCTAAATACCTGCGGGGGAACCTGAGATTGATAAAAGGGCCCAAAAAGAAAGAAGGCGAAAAAACAACCGGAACAGGGCGCAACAGTGTCGGATTTCTTTGCGGCTTCCCGCGCTATGAGAAACACCACCCAAGATGGTGGACGGGAGAGCACTGGAGGGCCTCGATCTCCCTCTTGCCCGGGATCTAGCATTACACCTGGACCCCAGGAGACGGACGCCAAGCAGATACTGGAGACCTTGGCGGAGGTGAGAACTTACCTGGCAACGGAAATAGCCAGGAATACCGCCGAAGTCAAGGCGGAGATACATGCGTTGGGGACCAGAACAGCGGTCCTCGAACAATGACTGGAGTCCACGGTGGAAGCCCATAACGCGGCCGCTGCACAAATTAACCTATTAACGTCCAGGTTAGCGGCGGCTGAATCTGTGCTGGATGACCTGGGCAACCGCTCACGACGAAACAACATCAGGCTGCGGGGTCTGCCTGAACAGGAGGTGGAAGGCTCCCTGATTGAGGTGGTCTCCTCCATATTTAAACCGCTCCTTCTAAACATACCAGAGAACCACTGGCACATCGAGAGAGCACACCGGGCGCTGCGGCCCGAAAGGCAAACGATAACAGGCCTAGAGATGTCATCATCAAGTTTCAATTTTTACAAACGAAGGAAGCATTGATGCAGCGAGGAAGGGAGGGCCCAATCATGTACAGAGGAGCTGAACTAGCCTTGTATCAGGACCTGACGCTGTACACCCTGCGGCAGCGGTGGGAATGGCGACCTATAACTGAACTGCTTCAGTGACACTCTATCAAGTATGAGTGGGGCCATCCGTTCAGGCTGATGGCCTTCAAGGAGGGGCGCTCTAGGATCCTGCAACCAGGCGGCAATCCGGTGACATTCCTACATGAGCTAGGGGTGCAGAACACGGGAGAGCTAGCGGTTCCAGATGCTGCGACAGCGACGGTATACCCCCTTCTCCGAGATTGGTACACGGCGGGCGAGTGAGTACAGAAGGGAGATTTCTTCTATTTAGGGGCCAGTTCCTCGAGAGGGAAGTCCCCATGCGAGCCGGCTGGCGTAGGCTGAACAATACACCTTATCACAGCGACACCCACAGGGCAGGACCATGCCTGTGAAAATATTGTCATTAAACGTTAAAGGCCTTAATGCACCTAAAAAACGGCGCCTCATGTTTAGGGAACTCAAGAGATTGAACCCCGATATAGCCTTCCTGAAGGAGACACACATACAGGCATCGGGGAAATTTGCGCTTAGGGACCATGTATACTGCACCACGTATGAATCTAGAGCTCTCAATAAGAGAAATGGGGTGGCTATTTTGATACACCGTAGGTGCCCACTCAATGTTTCTAGGGTACACACAGACTTGGGAGGCCGCTTTGTACTCCTATCAGGAACGCTGTACTCCCATAGTATACATATTCTCAAGCTTTATGGCCCAAATGACCCATCTAGGGAGTTCTGGGCAGAATTGACTCAGGAAATCAATGCATTACCACATGGAATGGTAATAGTGAGGGGTGATTTTAATGCCGCTCCATGCCCAGCAAGAGATAGGGGATCTAGCAAAGATCTCCCCAGATCACACAAAAGGGGAGGACAAGACAAATTATTACATCTCTTCATGCAAAATACAGGCCTCATAGGTATATGGAGAGCGCAGCACCAGGACGATAGCGATTTTACATTTTACTCCTATTTTGAAAAAGCCAACAAGATGGACACCTTGTTAGCGAGGTCACTCTGACCAAGGCAACATGGAACCCACATCACCAAAATTAAAGACGCCTCAGGTAAACATCACATGAACCCTACAGACATAGCAAAAATATTCACAGAATTCTTTACTAAACTATATAATCATTCCACAACAGATCTCGCTGATATGCAAAGTGAAAAAGAGAAGATACAAGCTTTCCTTGCTGAGCTGGATTTGCCAAAACTGAATGGAGCGGAAGCAGACGCCTTGAGGAAACAGATCTCGGCAGAAGAAATAGACGTAGCAATATCCACACTGAAGAGTAACAAGGTACCGGGACCAGATGGCTTCGATGGAACATATTATAAAACCTTTAGGGAAGAACTTATTCCACATATGGAAGCTTGGTTCACCGAACTAATGTCGCTAGCAGATATTGTCTTACTGTGGAAACCGGGTCGAGATCTATCAGCCCCAGAAAACTTTCGCCCGATATCCCTGATCAACCATGATTCAAAAATACTAGCAAAAATTCTGGCTGCCAGGATAAACCTGATGCTGAATCGGCTGGTTCACCCTGACCATGTGGGGTTCATACTGGATAGGCAACTCTTTGAAAATACCAGACGTAATGTGGAGACAAAACACGAGGAAAATACCGACGATGATACTGTCGTTGGACGCCGAGAAGGCGTTCAACAGGGTTAAATGGCCTTATTTATTCACAATGCTGGATCATTATGGCTTCCCAGCTCAGTTCACAATGGCAATCCGAGCCATGTATACTAATGTCAGGGCGCAACTTCGCATTTCGGGAGCAAAGATAACTCCGTTTGGTCTAAGCAACGGCACTAGACAGGGATGCCCATTGTCGCCCTTATTGTTCGCTCTTTCGTTGGAACCACTCCTTCAGCCCCAGACATTAAAGGGGTAGAAGTCGGAGGGCAACGATACGTGGTGTCAGGATTCGCAGATGACGTCTTACTGACTCTGACAGAACCGAGGGAATCCATGGCGGCGCTAACAGATGTCTTGAAGAAATCTGGAGAACTGGCCGGATATAAGGTAAATATGGACAAGTCCAGCGTACTACCCATAGGTATGTCAGAGATGGACGTAACCTACATAGGGAAGACCTATCAATTACGAATAACAAGAGACCACATTAAATACCTAGGCATACGACTGACGGCAGACCCATCTAAATTATTCCAACAGAATTATCCCCCGCTGGTTAGGACATTGATGACGGACATGGAGAGCTGGACGGAAAAAGCAATTTCTTGGATAGGGAGGATTCATTCCGTGAAAATGAATGTGCTACCTCGAATATTGTTTTTGTTTCAGGCGCTCCCGATCAGAGTGACCAGATCTGACTTGGGACTGCTCCAACAAACCATTGGCAAATTTATATGGCAGAATAAGAAGCATAGGGTCTCAAGCAACATTCTTTACCGGGCTAGGGACAGGGGTGGCCTGGGCCTTCTGCACCTATATTGTTATTATGAGGCAGCCCAGCTGCCCCAGGTGGCGCTGTGGCACTCTCCACCGGAGGAAAGGAGATGGGTGGACCTGGAAGCATCCCTTATGGGGATGGATATGCCTCAGTTCTTTATGTGGACCCCTAGGGAGCACAGACCAAACATTAGCATGACCTGTCCTGCAATTTTCAACTCACTGAAGATATGGGATGCAGCCGCTACTAAGTATGGCTTGGTGTCCTCCCATTCTCCAGTGACCCCTTTGTTGAGGGACAAAGCATTCCTACCAGGAATAACAGCATGGGATTTCAGAGGCATAGAACACGCAGGGTTGCAAAGATTACACCAGTTGTTTGAGGGGGGGGGGTGGGTCGTTTGTGACGTTTGAGGACCTGCAAACTAGAACTCCTCTGCGACCCTTTGACTTTTTTTAGATATCTCCAGATTAGAGACTATGCCCAAGACCTTCAGGTTAAAAAAGCCGCAGAGGCACAGATGATGTTCTTTGAAAGGATATGCGCAAAGGAACAGTTCCCAAGCGGATTGATTTCACTTCTATACTCACATTTGTGCAACAACACATTAGAATGGGGAGGAATTACATACATAGACCACTGGGAGGCAGAATTAGGAGAGACGTTGGAGGGAGTGGAATGGCAGGAAATATGGGAGGCAGCCGCACAGTCCTCTCTGTGTGTCTCGCTGCAGGAACAATCATATAAGATGCTATTTCGATGGTATGCTACACCGGTAAAGTTGAGCCGTATGAACCAAATTACTACAGACCTATGCTGGCGGGTTGCGGCCTCAAGGGCACATATATTCACATTGGGAATGCCCAATTACACAAGTTTATTGGCAACAAATTGCGCAGTTGTAGCGAGAAATATTTGAGAGGGAGGTTAAGCTAGACCCATGGGTATTCTTACTAGCCAGATCTATAGAAAACTGGACAAAAACAGACCTTTTCTTTCCAAAAACCATTAATTGTTCTTCATTTACTGACCAATCGAGTATTGATGATGATTCTATGTCTCCTTTTCTTATTACTTTCAAGGCATACATATTGCCTGTGTCCTTGTATTTAGCCAGCAGAACCTGAAATTAAAATGAACAAATTGTTGTGCTGCATCTGTTAAGACATCCGTTATATCGAACTAGAATTGGAATTCCACCTTAAACTTACTTTCCCGAAGCTCCCTCTACCGAGCACAGAGCGGAGCTTGAAGTCCTCCATGGTGAGAGGAATCCGGAGACGAATACTGCCAAGAAAGGAAAATGTTCAGAAATTTAATTAAATGGTCCCAAACCCCCCCACAATAAAAAAGACTTAGAATAAAAGGCTCCTGTAACACAGGTAAGTAATCATACCGCACGTCTGGTGTTGGGTTTGTAATCATTTCTTTGCTATCGCTGGTATATTCGTGGCCTTCTCCAAAATCCTAGAAAGGAAAACCATACATGATAAAAGGATTTCTTGTGTTACGGCGCCTGAGAGGGGATATGATAACATTATACAAATATATTCGGGGCCAGTACAAACCATTATCTGAAAATCTATTCAAAAAACAGGGCTATACATAGGACACGAGGTCACACATTTAGGCTGGAAGAAAGGAGATTTCATCAAAGGCAAAGAAAAGTTTTTTTACAGTAAGAGTAATAAGGATATGGAATTCTCTGCCTGAAGAGGTGGTTTTGTCAGAGTCATTACAGATGTTTAAACTGCAATTGGATTAATACTTGCAAAAACATAACATGCAGAGATATAATTTATAATTAGTGGGGTAATAGCTGTTTGATCCAAGGATACATCTGACTGCTATTTTGGGGTCAAGAAGGAATTTTTTCCTAGTTTGTGGAAAAAGTTGAAGCGCTTCAAACTAGGTTTTTTTGCCTTCTTTTGGATCAACAGCAAAAACATATGTGAGGAAGGCTGAACTTGATGGACACAAGTCTCTTTTCAGCTATGTAACTATGTAACTAGATTTAGCCCGAGTTCAACCATCAACGTCGGCATAGAGGACATGTGGACCAGCCAAGCCCTTATTTGTCAAAAAGCTCCTAAATGGTCTAACAAAAAAATAAGTGGGCTAATATCCACAGAATCATTGCACCATAACTACATTACTGTGCTATAATGGTTATTGTACACAGAGTGATCATTTTTTGATGAAGTTTAGAGGTAAAGAACGACCAGCACATCTGAGAGCTTTACCTGAGCCAGGAAATCCGGGAACTCAATATAAATTGAAATCTCACGCAGAATGCTATATAAAAATGTCTGACTTGGAGCAGGAGCAGCGTCTAAGTGAAGTTCCACATCCGGTGGGACAATTGGTTTCATAGAGAAGAGTTGAAAATCGCTATCAGAAGTAAGAAAATTATAGTTTATCTAGTTGTCATATCACTATACTCATTATATCTTAGACAATGATGCTGCTATATTCAAGACATTATTTAACCCCCACAACAGACATATAGATAATCAGCAGGTATGGTGGTATAAAGTGAGATGGATTCAGGTCCTAACAACATTGATGAGAAAGATGTAAAGTGAATACCCAGCCGGCTCTGGCTCCTGTGTGTCCATCACCAACATCGAAGGGGCAGCAGTATTAATGTCCGTCTCCGGAGCTGGTAACGATGGTTGTTCTGTAAAGATTGGGATATAATGTAAGTAATGTATATTATACACGGTGAATAATAATAATTCAATAATTCTAAACTCAATGCAACAGAGAATCAAGCAAACATCACTATATCCAAGCCTAGACTTTATGATATTTAATTTATAAAATAATATAAAATGTATTTGCACCTTCTCATTACTCCCTTTACCTCCCACTTCTAAGAGGAAATGCAAAGACAAAGCAATTGGAAGATACAGCTGTACATTTCCTCATAAAACCTTGGAGTGTAGACATTTATGGGATACGTACAGATCTCTTATACCTCCTTGTAAGATAGTTAAAGCTTGATGTGGTTATGGTACAAGTCCTGCCCTGGCACCCCATTATTAGACGTCAGGTGCCGCTCCCTGTGTCCACTACCAGCGACGGAGAGCCGGAAGCTCCTAAATAGGAACTTCTCAGGAATCCTTACAAAGCAGCCACCAGGGCACTACTGGCACCGTAACAATAATGGCCTGTAGTGGTTAGGTGCTCGGATTGTTTCTTTAAAGTTTAGTCACATCCATGAACTCTGTACCTCCACAGGTGACTTATGGATCACTATATATAAAAGCAGTCGGCACCCAGAATATCTCATGGCCCAGACACACAGCCAAACTCTAAAAACTAAAACTCTCAAAAATATAAAATACGTGTTCATTGTTACCCATTAATATTCTTTCTAAAAACTGCATACGAGGACAGAACGTTTACCTTTTATAAGAGCCTGGATTCGACTGCGCAACCTGACTATTTTATTCTCGCTGTCTTGACGTTTTTCCAGGACAGCAGCAATATGGTGGACATTCTGTACCAGTAATAAGAATTGTCAGATAGCTGATTAAAATGTATGAAGAAATATAGGATTAATTAACCTCATTCTAGGAAATAAACTACTTACAACCCAGGATACATCTGGACTACGTTTAGTTCTCATAACATATGTAGATGGTGGAAGCGCACTCAATCCTTTGTCATGGAATTCAGGGTGCTCATGTGGACAAGTCTCAGTACCAAATGGACCAAGTATAAAATTTGAATAGAAAAAATGATCCAGGCACTCCAGCGAATTCCAAAATAGAGGCAATTTTTATTGGAACAAGGAATCAAAAAGCAACGTTTCAACCCCTTAGGGCCTTTGTCAAGCTTGCCTCTATTTTGGAATTCGCTGGAGTGCCTGGGTCATTTTTTCTATTCATGTTTAGTTTTCAATGATCTCAAGCAATGATTTTTACCCAGATATTAAACCATTATTATGTCAGTTCCAGGCAATCCTTGTACATAACATGCAGGGACTATAAATCCAGTTCACTTTGTTTCTCTTTCAGTATACGAGAGCCTTAATGGCTCAAAATACAGCAGCGGAATGCTTGCATCTGGGGGTAACGGGCAATAGGCACACTATAGTGCTTCCTTGCAGGCAGACTAAATTATAGACACGCATCATGGAAGATGAATCTGTAAAATCAGAAATACAATTGCAAGAAAAAGTATGTGAACCCTTTGGAATGATATGGATTTCTGCACAAATTGGTCATAAAATGTGATCTGATCATCACCTAAGTCACAACAATAGACAATCACAGTCTGCTTAAACTAATAACCCACAAAGAATGAAATGTTCCCATGTTTTTATTGCACACACCATGTAAACATTCACAGTGTAGGTGGAAAAGTATGTGAACCCTTGGATTTAATAAGTAGTTGAACCTCCTTTGGCAGCAATAACTTCAACCAAACGGTTCCTGTAGTTGCAGATCAGACGTGCACAACGGTCAGGAGTAATTCTTGACCATTCCTCTTTACAGAACTGTTTCAGTTCAGCAATATTCTTGGGATGTCTGGTGTGAATCACTTTCTTGAGGTCATGCCACACCATCTCAATCGGGTTGAGGTCAGGACTCTGACTGGGCCACTTCAGAAGGCGTATTTTCTTCTGTTTAAGCCATTCTGTTGTTGATTTACTTCTATGCTTTGGGTCATTGTCATGTTGCAACACCCATCTTCTGTTGATCTTCAGCTGGTAGACAGATGGCCTTAAGTTCTCCTGCAAAATGTCTTGATAAACTTGGGAATTCATTTTTCCTTCGATGATAGCAATCCGTCTGGCCCTGACGCAGCAAAGCAGCCCCAAACCATGATGCCCCCACCACCATACTTCACAGTTGGGATGAGGTTTTGATGTTGGTGTGCTGTACCTTTTTTTCGCCACACATAGTGTTGTGTGTTTCTTCCAAACAACTCATCTTTGGTTTCATCTGTCCACAGAATATTTTGCCAGTACTGCTGTGGAACATCCAGGTGCTCTTGTGCAAACTGTAAACGTGCAGCAATGTTTTGTTTGGACAGCAGTGGCTTCCTCTGTGGTATCCTCCCATGAAATCCATTCTTGTTTAGTGTTTTACGTATTGTAGATTCGCTAACAGGGATGTTAGCATTTGCCAGTGACTTTTGTAAGTCTTTAGCTGACACTCTAGGATTTTTCTTCACCTCATTGAGCAGTCTGCGCTGTGCTCTTGCAGTCATCTTTACAGGACGGCCACTCCTAGGGAGAGTAGCAGCAGTGCTGAACTTTCTCCATTTATAGACAATTTGTCTTACCGTGGACTGATGAACAGCAAGGCTTTTGGAGATACTTTTATAACCCTTTCCAGCTTTATGCAAGTCAACAATTCTTAATCGTAGGTCTTCTGAGAGCTCTTTTGTGCGAGGCATCATTCACATCAGGCAATGCTTCTTGTGAAAAGCAAACCTAGAACTAGTGTGTGTTTTTTATAGGGCAGGGCAGCTGTAACCAACACCTCCAATCTCATCTCATTGATTGGACTCCAGTTGGCTGACATCTCACTCCAATTAGCTCTTGGAGATGTCATTAGTCTAGGGGTTCACATCCCTTTTCCACCTGCACTGTGAATGTTTACATGGTGTGTTCAATAAAAACATGGCAACATTTCATTCTTTGTGTGTTATTAGTTTAAGCAGACTGTGATTGTCTATTGTTGTGACTTAGATGATGATCAGATCACATTTTATAACCAATTTGTGCAGAAATCCATATCATTCCAAAGGGTTCACATACTTTTTCTTGCAACTGTAAAACATGAAAAAACTTGCATTCTCTCTACTTAGAAATTTGAAAAAGTGCTTCATGGGTGATTAAGAAAAGCTCATGCCTTCAACTATTTCACTGTGAGAGATCTCGGGAAATCTAGTTTGTAATTTGTATCAGCTTTCTGTCAGGGTGTAAAAGGCATGTCATGTAAAAGGTGTAAGAGCGATTTGGGAGTTGCCCCTCCCCCATCAACAATTTAAAAAAATATTATTTTTTATTAAACTCAGTTTCAATGTATTAGACTTACTTTGGGAGGATCATTGGAATATGCTTTGATCAGATTATCTGCTCCCTGCTTCACCTTCAGCTCGATCTCCAGCTTTTTCTGCAAAGCACTCAGCTTCACGTTGTCTGCCTGGGAGCTGGTGTCACTTGTAGGAGCATCTGAGATCTCTGGACATCCCGGGAATTAGTAACAAGAAAAATACAACATTTGGAAATGTCAGCAGACAGTATCACTCAATAAATAAATAAGACAGTTACATTAAGTAGAGTAGGTAATGCCACGATAGATAACACAGACCCAGAGAGCAGCTTTAAATCAAGGAGTATAAAAATACTGAAAGAAAAGATAAATACAGAGTAAACAACAAAAATCCCAGCTGCTAGAAGTCCCCCGTGATTGATGACATTACAGGAGCACGCAATGTACATGCCTTCCAGTTTCAATAGATGTCGGTGAGATAGATCTACAGTAAATATTGTATCGACTCCAGTCTTTCATGGACATTTCTAGGAATACTCCAAGTTTGGTTTAACTCCTTCCCAGGGTCCCGCCAGGTGCCTGTGACCACATCCCATGTATCCAGTCTTCTCTGGCAAGAGAATGCAGATTGCCCGATTAAGCAAAGTAGGGCCATGCAGCTGAGCTCCCTCTAGCCAATGAACATGGTCCATTAATGGCCATGCTTTATTTTATAGGGACATCTGACTTCTCTGGTTGGAGAACATTGAATGCAGCAGATGTTTTCCTGGCACTATAGGGTCATTAGGACCCCCCCACCCTCGGGCCCCCCCCTCCCGCTGGGCTGAAGGGGTTAAAACCCCTTCAGCCACTTACCTTTCTCCAGTGCCGGGCTCCTTCGGCGATATGGAACTCTCCACCCCCTGCGTTCCTATGGACGTCCAGCTTCTTCTCACTGTGATTTTCACAGTGAGAATCGCAGAAGCGCCTCTAGCGGCTGGATTAACCCTCAGTGAAACATGTTCACAGCTGCAGGGTTAAAACTAGAGGGACCTGGCACCCAGACCACTTCATTGGGCTGAAGTGGTCTGGGTGCCTATAGTGGTCCTTTAATTGTTAAATGTGCACGGGACCCATTTATATTTCTGTAAAACTAACAAGGCACAGCCTTCCTCGGTACTATTTATTTAAATCTCCATGTTTTCACGCTATATAATGTCGGTGATCTGATGCCCAATAAAGTCTACAATCTCATATTCAAAATATGTGCAATAACTGATCACAACGTTATGATTTCCTCTTTTAAAGTCTCTAAAATATCCACCTGATTGTAAAATGAAAAAGCAACAGTTATTACTGCTATGACCCACCAGTACTTTCCAATGAGATGTCACTTGTAGAAGAGGTCAGGTCAACAGTGGAGAAACTATCACTAGCTGATGAGCGACTCACAGGTTGGAGAAAGTCTTGAGTCTCTGGAGACTCTGAAAATTAAAAAGAAAGACAGATCACTATGTGATTTTACAGATAGTATTGCTCAATCAAGGTTAGAAAGACTACACAATACATAACCTTTTATTTAAACAGACACTTAATGTATTATAATAACCTGTGAACTTCCATATATTTTGTTGTCAGAAGCTACTCTTCCTGTGCTTTTGTTTTTCTGATTCTTATATCTACAATATTTAGAGAATAGCAGTGACAAGCTGCTCCAGTTATAGTACTATCCCCGCCATCTGACGTCTTTTACAGATTTCATGGGGAGAACATTTGTTATGTTTACACGAGTGGCCACCGCTAGCTCCATCCATTTAAAAACATGACTGGAGAACGTAGCTCAAGAAACAGTTTGACTTTTACTGAATGAAACTACTGCCAAGTGCTGAACTAGACACACCAGCTGAGTTTATGGGATATGCTCAGCATTGTCATTATAAATAATGGGAACATTAAAGGGACACTATAGTCACCTGAACAAATTTAGCTTAATGAAGCAGTTTTGGTGTATAGAACATGCCCCTGCAGCCTCACTGCTCAATTCTCTGCCATTTAGGAGTTAAATCCCCTTGTTTATGAACCCTAGTCACACCTCCCTGCATGTGACTTGCACAGCCTTCCATAAACACTTCCTGTAAAGAGAGCCCTATTTAGGCTTTCTTTATTGCAAGTTCTGTTTAATTAAGATTTTCTTATCCCCTGTTATGTTAATAGCTTGCTAGACCCTGCAAGAGCCTCCTGTATGTGATTAAAGTTCAATTTAGAGATTGAGATACAATTATTTAAGGTAAATTACATCTGTTTGAAAGTGAAACCAGTTTTTTTTTCATGCAGGCTCTGTCAATCATAGCCAGGGGAGGTGTGGCTAGGGCTGCATAATCAGACACAAAGTGATTTAACTCCTAAATGACAGTGAATTGAGCAGTGAAATTGCAGGGGAATGATCTATACACTAAAACTGCTTTATTTAGCTAAAGTAATTTAGGTGACTATAGTGTTCCTTTAAGATTGGCTGACATGGTGTCTGGAAATATGGGAAGGGGAGTTTGTCACAGCGTCATATCCAGATGTTGTCTTTGGGAAATAGACGTATGAGTGCTGCCAGCATTGCTACAGAGGTTAAAGGGGTGGGGAGTCAGCCTGTCAGTGCTCAGACCATATGCCGCACACTGCATCAAATTGGTCTGCATGGCTGTCATCCCAGAAGGAAGCCTCTTCTAAATATAATGCACAAGAAAGCGACCCAAACAGTTTGCTGAAGACAAGCAGAGTAAGGACATGGATTACTGGAACCATGTCCTGTGGTCCGATGAGACCAAGATAAACTTATTTGGTTCAGATGGTGTCAAGCGTGTGTGGTGGCAACCAGGTGAGGAGTACAAAGACAAGTGTGTCTTGCCTACAGTCATGCATGGTGATGGGAATGTCATGGTCTGGGCCTGTATCAGTGCTGCTGGCACTGGGAGCAAGAGTTCATTGAAGGAACCATGAATGCCAACATGTACTGTGACATACTGAAGCATACTGAAGCAGAGAATGATCCCCTCCCTTCGGAGACTGGGCCACAGGGCAGTATACCAACATGATAACAACCCCAAACACACCTCCAAGACGACCACTGCCTTGCTAAAGAAGCTGAAGGTAAAGGTAATGGACTGGCCAAGCATGTCTCCAGACCTAAATCCTATTGAGCATCTGTGGGGCATCCTCAAACAGAAGGTGGGGGAACGCAAGATTTCCAACATCCACCAGCTCTGTGCTGTCATCATGGAGAAGTGGAAAAGAACTCCAGTGGCAACCTGTGAAGATCAGGTGAACTCCATGCCCATGAGGGTTAAGGCAGTGCTGGAAAATAATGGTGGTCACACAAAATATTGACACTTTGGGTCCAGTTTGGACATTTCCACTTAGGGGTGTACTCACTTTTGTTGCCAACGGTTTAGACATTACTGGCTGTGTGTTGAGTTATTTGGAGGGGATAGCAAATTTACTGTTATACAGGCTGTACACTTACTACTTTACATTGTAGCAGAGTGTCATTTCTTCAGTGTTGTCACAGATAAAATATTTACAAAAATGAGAGGGATGTCCTCACTTTTGTGAAATACTGTATATAGCAATCACGCACACAATGTTTTAATGTACCTGGAAGTTGATCTACTTTCTGCTCAACAGCATCAGGTATCTGACGTCTGGCACGCTGAAAAAGCAGAAACAAATACAATTAGAAAACAAAAGGCACTTTGCAAGAAAAATGCTCAAACAAACCAAAAGCTTTTACAGTCTATCCCCTGGTTGCTGCCACAGGGGCCAGCGATACTTTTTAAACTGCTCCAAACAAACTACAATACAGGAAATGAGTCTACTTAAAGGAACACTCCAGGCACCATAACAACTTGTGTAGGACTCCCCTAATAGGTTTGCCTTCCTGTGACAGGTGAGCTTACAGTTTAATGGCCGTTCAGATAACTTTTTATTTGTTTTGTGTATTTGGGCTGATGAATACTATAGCCACTGCTGCCGCCCAAGAGTAGTGGGAGTTTGATTCCATGGGTTTAAGTTTGTGTAGCATGGCATTATTTCATTGAAGTTGTTATGGTGTGTGGAGGCCCAGTGTTATATATAAGTGTTAACCTGTTCTATCCGGTTTAACACTAAAGATGTCACTCCGGTCTCTGTCTGCTCAGCTCAGGTTAAAGCAGAAGTTGTGTGAGCAGTGAGAAGGGTCAGTGATTGGCTGAGAGAGTCAGCTGCCCATCGTTAGCTAATATCCTTTACTCATGATTGGCTGAGAGTGTTAGCTGACGCTCTAATTCAGCCACTGCCGGCTTTTCACTACTTGCGCTAATGTTCCCGTATTAGTCCGAGTGGGAGAGATGGTGCTTGGAGATACACATCCTTAATGTCAGACATTCGAGAACGATTTAACACTTAAATCTTACTACACTACATTTGCATTTATTTCTCTCACTTTGTTTTATATGAGAATATACCTGCCTTATTGCACTGACACTTTAAGTGATTTATGTCCCATTTATTAGTATTTTGCACAAGATTTGCGGCAAAGACCCTTTTTATTTGTTACCATAATATTAAAAGTTCTGGAAAGTGACTGTTAGCCTTGATAAACCATTAGAAGGTCTAATTTATTTACTAAACCCAGAGTTCATCAACTCAAACAATCAAGAAATGAAACATGTGGCCGCTTTAACGGCAAACTCGAAGCAAACTAACCATTCTAGCTCGCTGTAGTGGTTATAGTACCTGGAGTGTCTTGGCGCTATCCCTGGTTTAATATCAGACCATTTTGGCTCTTCCAAGTACCTGGATACCCCCCTCCACAGCCACAATGATAGGAATTAACACTTCTATATTATCAATGCACATTATAGGAAGCCTGGATGGTATTGATTGGCTGAGAGCTCTGGGTTACGCCCCATCCATCACAGCAGTCCAGGTTGGATGGAATACACATTTATAGCGTTAAACTGTCAATTCCACATTATCATTATGGCCAAGGGGGGGTGTCTGGGTGACAGGTAGAGACCTCTCATTTATCAAAATGCTCCCAAATGGTTTAACAATAAAAAGTGAGTTAATACCCACAGACTCATTGCACCATAACTACTTCAGAGAACATCCAGCAAGTTAGAGCTTTACCTGGGCCAGTATATTCTGGATCTTAACATAAGCTGAAATTTCATGCTGAATGTCATCTAAGAATGTCTGACTAGGCGTCTCAAAGTCATGTTCCACATCCGGTAGGGTAATTGGTTTCGAAGGTAAGATTGGAAAATCGCTATGAGAAGGAAGAAAAGAATAGTTTATCTGGTTGTCATATCACTATACTCATTATATCGTAGACAATATTGCTGCTATATACCAGACATTATTTAAAGGAAACCCCAAGAATACTTCTCACTAGTGTTGCCGATTTCTATGTCTTTGCACCGTATAGAATTCTACATTCTGTGCTTCCTGTGTGACATCCAAAGCACTCTCACACCCTGCCTGGCAGAATGCAGAATTCACAGGAGTCCTGCAAAGATAAGGAGATCTGGCGACACAAGCATGCAAGCTGTAGGCAGCCTTGTAAAATGTATCTGTGATTGATATGCATGCTGAGGAATCTATAGACAGCACGTGACAAATATACAACAGACGTATTGATAATCAGCAGGTGTGGTGGTGTAAACTGGGATGGATTCAGGTCCTAACAACATTGATGAAAAAGATGTAAAGTGAATACCCAGCCGGCTCTGGCTCCTGTCTCTCCGTCACCAACATCGAAGGAGCAGCAGTATTAATGTCCGTCTCCGGAGCTGGTAACGATGGTTGTTCTGTAAAGGTCGAGACATAACATAATGTAAGTATTGTGTATTATACACAGTGATCAATAATACTCCAATCATTTTCACCTCAAAGCAAATGGAGAAAAAACAAAAACATTATATCCAAGCCTAGACTTTATGATATTTCAATTTATAAAATAATATAAAATGTATTCGCACCTTCTCATTACTCCCTTTACCTCCCACTTCTAAGAGGAAATGTAAAGGCGATGTAATTGGAAGATACAGCTTTACATTTCTTCATAAAGCCTTGGAGTGTTGAGGTTTATGGGATACGTACAGATCTCCTTGTAAGATTGTTAAAGCTTGCTGTAGTGGTTATGGTGCAAGTCCTGCCCCGGCACCCCATTATTAGAAGTCAATGCATTTTTATTCCCAGGGCAGCTCCCGGTTTTGGCTACCAGTGACGGAGAGCCGGACGCTCTTAAACAGGAACTTCTCTTAGCTCTCCTGATCTGAGCCCGGAGCAAGCCCTGCGGAGCCGTTCTAATACAATTTTACTCCTTACAAAGTAGCCACCAAGGCATTCCTCATGGCCAAGAAACACAGCCAAACTCTAAAAATTAAAACTCACAAAAATATAAAATACGTGTTCATTGTTACCCATTAATGTTATTTCAAACTGCATACGAGGACAGAACGTTTACCTTTTATAAGAGACTGGATCCGACTGCGCAACCTAGCTATTTTTTTCTCACTGCCTTTAAGTTTTTTCCGGACAGCAGCAAGATGTTTGGCATTCTGTAACAGTAATAAGAATAGTCAGATAGCTGATTAAACTGTATGGAGAAATATAGGATTAATTAACCTCATTCTAGGAAATAAACCTTAAAGGATCACTACTGTATAGTGTCAGAAAAACAAAGCGGTTTTCCTGACAATATAGTGCCTTGACGGTGCCCCCACCCTCAGGGTCCCCCACACGTGGCGCTGAAGGGGTTAAAACCCTTTCAGCAGCTTACCTTAATCCAGTGCCAGGCTCCCTCGGCACTGGTGACCTCTCCTCCCTTGCCGACATCAGCTTACCGTCCGATATCAACGGAGCCGAATGCGCATGCATTCAAAGTGTCCAAAAAATCGCAGATGCGCCTCTAGTGGCTGTCCAGAAGACAGCCACTAGAGGCTGGATTAACCCCAAATCTAAACATAGCAGTTTCTCTGAAACTGCTATGTTTGCATCTGAAGGGCTAAAACCTGAGGGACCTGGCACCCAGACCACTTCATTGAGCTGAAGTGGTCTGTGTGACTATAGTGTCCCTTTAATTACTCACATCCCAGGATACAAGTGGACTATGTTTAGTTTTCATTGATCTCAAACAATGATTTTTACCCAGATATTAAAGTATTATTATTTCAGTTCCAGGCAGCCCTTGTGTATAACATGCAGGGACTATAAATCCAGTTCACTTTGTTTCTCTTTCAGTATACGAGAGCCTTTATGGCTCAAAATACAGCAGCGGAATGCTTGCATCTGGGGGGAAAGGCACTAGGCACACTATAGTGCTTCCTTGCAGGCAGACTGAATTATAGACACACATTATGGAAGGAGAATCTTTAAAATTGAAAAAAAAATCAATCTTAAAAACAAAAAAAAAGATGCATTCTTTCTATTTAGTATTTTGAAAAATACTTCGTGAGAGATTAAGAAAAGCGCACACCTTCAACTATTTAGCTGAGAGAGGTGTCGGCAAACTTTTGGAAATCAAGTTGGTAATTTTTATCACCTCTCTTGATTTCAGGAACAAATATCACCAGCAAACTATCCGCTGAAAAGGACACTGTAGGCACTCAGATCACTTCAGCTCATTGAAGTGGTCTGGGTGCAATGTCCCCTGTCCCTTATCCCTACAGTTCTTAGAAACTGCAATAATTACCTTGCAGGGTTATCTCCCCCCAGGGGCTTTCTACCAGACAGCCACTAGAGGGACTTCTGAGTGCTTAGGTGACTTTTGGCCATCTAAATGACGCTGTTCGTCCTCACATTCTGCATGAGGACTTCCAGAATCACCGGAATCCCCATAGGGAAATCTTAATGCGAGAGTGGCAATTGCTGCGCATGTGCATTAGGTCTCCCGCGCCGGCCGACGTCAGTGAGAGAGGGGCGTGGGCAGAGCCTGACCCAGCAACAAGGGACATGGTCGCTGGATTCAGGAAAGTGACTGAAGCACCGCGGTAGGAGGGGCGAGAGGGTGGGGGCCCGGTAGTATTCTAAAGTGCCAGGAAAACAGCTTTGTTTTCCTGGCACTATAGAATGCCTTTAAATTAGCTTGAATGGTGTCAGGGTATAAAAGGCATGTCCTGTAAAAATAAAAAAGTATTCTTTCTTTTCAAACTCAATTTCAATGTATTAGACTTACTTTGGGAGGATCATTGGAATATGCTTTGATCATATTCTCTGCTCCATGCTTCACCTTCAGCTCAATCTCCAGCTTTTTCTGCAAAGCACTCAGCTTTGCGTTCTCTGTCTGGGAGCTGGTGTCACCTTTAGGACCATCTCGGATCTCTGGACATCCCGGAAATTAGTAACAAGAAAAAAATACAACATTTGGAAATGTCAGCAGACAGTATCACTCAATAAATAAATAAGACAGTTACATTAACCCCTTCAGGACGGAGTCAATAGTGCACGTTCTGATCAAAACAAAACGTAAACAAAAACTGGAATTTGCGCTATATGTCTGTTCAACCGTAATTCACCGCTGTCACATTAAGTGCACCCACACTTATCATATATCATTCTGTTAAGGAGAAACAGGGCTTTAATTTATCATTAACTAGTCATATATGGAACATAATTTATTATGAATAAAATTTAAAAAAATGTGAGAAAATAAGATTTACTGTTAGGTTTTACTGTAAAAAAATGCCCATATTTGTAATCAGCGATGTCTCACGTGTACAACAGTAACCCCCATTAACAGGTTTTACACAGTCTTCCCCGACATCTGAAGTCTTTTACAGATTTTTACGGGGAGAACATTTGTTATGTTTAAACGAGTGGCAACCACTAGCTCCATCCATTTAAAAACACGACTGGAGAACGTAGCTCAAGAAACAGATTGACTTTTAATGAAGGAAACTACTTCCAAGTGCTGAACTAGACACACCTGCTGAGTTTATGGGATATGTTCAGCATTGTCATTATAAATAATGGGAACATTAAGACTGGCTGAAACTCCAGATATATTCTGCTATCAGACAGTAGCGGATTATGGGTAGGAGGCAGTCCCCCTGTATGGGGGTTAGGAGAGACTCATTACAGGTGTCTAGAGATACGTATAAGGCGAACTACCTCCCTGAAAATATTAACTACGCAATCTAACGTGTCAGAAATGTCAAAATTGCATATTCTGTACATTGTCTTCAGGTAACAATCTAACAATAGAAATCTAAATGTTAAAGGGTTCCACCAAGCACCATGACCACTTCAGTGTTTTGTAGTGGTTATGGTGCCTGGAGTCTTTACATACAGAGATATTTAGACGAGTGTCATTAGCCAGTCTGGAACGAGAGGTATGTGCTGGATAATGTGAATTCTGTGCATATTCCACGCACAGAGGGCCATTCTTTGGCTGAGAGAGCTCAGTTGACGGTGCTCGGTTCTCTTGTTCTTTGGAGGTTCCACGTTCAGGTCTCACACAGGCTATAAAATGCTAGAACTGATTCAGTCTCCATGGAGATCAATAGATATACACTTACATATACACACAGCAATCACACACAGTGTTTTAATGTACCTGGAAGATGATCTACTTTCTGCTCAACAGCATCAGGTATCTGACGTCTGGCGCGCTGAAAAGGCTGAAACAAAAACAATTAGAAAACAAAAGGCACTTTGCAAGAAAAATGCTCAAACAAATGAAAAGCTTTTACAGTCTATCCCCTGGTTGCTGCCACAGGGGCCAGCGATACTTTTTAAACTGCTCCAAACAAACTACAATACAGGAAATTAGTCTACTTAAAGGAACACTCCAGGCACCATAACAACTTACTTATAACTCCCCTAATAGGTTGGCCTTGCCGTGACAGGTGAGCTTACAGTTTAATGGCCGTTAGAGTGGTACTGAAATCATCATTATTGAAACGTACATAGGGATTTAGGATAGCGCAGATAACTTTTTATTTGTTTTATGTATTTGGGCTGATCAATACTATAGCCACTGCTGCCGCCCAAGAGTAATGGGAGTTTAAGTTAAGGGTATAATTTTGTGTAGCATGCAATCATTTCATTGAAGTTGTTATGGTGCCTGGAGGCCCAGGTGCAGTCTTACATATAAGTGTTAACCTGTTCTTGACCGGTTTAACACCAAAGATGTGTCTCCGGTCTCTTTCTCTTCCGCTCAGTAAGGAGTGATGGCGGGAGTTAAGGGCAGGGATGGAAGAGACTTATGTGAAGATAGGAAGGAGATCCCAATTCCAGACAACTCATATACAATGAAAAATGTGTCTTGTGGGGAAAATATGTTTTGTGCAAATTGTGTACATACAATAAAGTGCAAATGTGTCAAAATTATATTAAATCCATTAAATGCAGTATTTCATTGTATAAGGATTTAACTTAATTAAAATGAGAATAAAATAAAAGATCTGCTTCTCCCCGTCCAGTAATTCACATTAATAATTATAAAATGGGTCTCACTGTATTCTCCTTCTGGACCCAGCCATGAATTATATTGGCGTTTGGGGTAATAGCTCCCAGTTAATGATTAATATAATTGGAACCTTAAATAAACCAAGTCATTTACTTACATTGCGAAGGCGCAAACGTGGAAAACACGAGAAAATGTTTCTATTTGCCATCATTAGCAACTTGATCACTACCACAGCTAAGCAGTGTCAACTGTCTGAGCAGTGTCTAGTGACTGCTGTAAGCTGTGACCATAAAGGGTGATGTCACATGATGTCACATCAAACAGTCACAAAGGATCACAGGTCCCATCCAGCCAGATAGACAAACACACAGACACCAATATAATTTATAGTTTTATATTATTTTAATAAAAGATACATATATATATTTAGATTGAGCTGTAGCAGTTTGTCTATCTGTCTATCTGTCTGTCTGAATATGGGCTGTGGACGGTCTTATTCAACAAACTTGAGTTATAGTGAATTGAAAAACAAACTGGGTAATTTAGACAAAATATATGCGTGAAGAATCCCCCTCCATTCATTCAGTACTTTCCCTCCCTGCTACTTTATCCATGGATTTATTACTGTGACGAAGTGCCCTTCGCCACTTGTGCCTGGAGAGGACTGCTTGCCCGCCTCTTGCCCTGTGACTATGGACCCTGGGAGATTTTGGCCCGTTCAGTATGATAGGAGTTATGTATTTTTGTATCCTTTTGTGTTTTACTGGGAACATGTGCTCAATGGAGTCTGCCTCTATCCCTGGATAATTGGATTATTTTCCCCATTGTCTCCAGGATAGAGGGCTCTGTAAAACCGGTTTGGGCCAGATAGCCATGCTGCCAGCCAGGCCCCAAAATATACTTTACTTACTTCTGAACCCCTGGTCTGATTCATGCCATTTTTTTAATATGTTGTTTCCCTGAATGGATTGATTGTGAATATATAATTTTTATGTGAATGTGATGTATATTTTAGAAGTTATGAATATGCTGTAAAAACTGTATTTTTCCTACCTGTGATAATTGATCTTCTATTGTATAAGATAATTGAATCACAGACAGAGGGGAGGATTTTTTGTGGGCTGTAACCTCTGTTTCATTGGCTACTGTAGATAACGTGTGTGTCCCTCCCCTGCATGGGAGCAGGGCATAACAGAAACTGTAGCTTGAATACCTGTTGTTGTTACTTCCAGTAAAGTCTTGGTCCAGCATTAAGCTTTGGCTCATGTTTGGGGGATTGGAAAACTACACTCTGGGGACTGCTATAATCACTTACTCCCTAGAGTAAACTCTTGCAATAGCTTGATTTGTTCCTGCTACGCTCTCTGGATTTAGGAGAGGTTCACCCACTTGTCGCCATATGGGCTGGAGGAGCTGACAGTGGGACAGAGGGACATCGGCGTTGGATTCAGGTAAGTCACTGAAGAGGTTTTAACCCCTTCAGCAAGATGGGATGGGAGGTGGAGGGAGTGGGGCACTGCAGGATACTACAGTGCCAGGAAAATGGGTTTGTTTTCTTGGCACAGGAGAGTCCCTTTAACTGCACTCTATTTAACCCTCGTGTGTGATCCTAACAGTAACCCTGCCATAATCTCACTGTGGTCTGATAGTGGCGCACAGCACATTACGTTATAGTGTGTACCCGGGAATTCTTTACCATTGATATTTTTTAAATTTTATATCATGTAAGAATGTATAAAAGTAACACTCCAAACACCATAACCACTACAGCCGGCTTTACTGGTTATGGTTCCAGGAGTGCCCTGGTGTTCCTTAATAGTAAGTAACCAAACCATTTATGGCATTCCTGGCTCAGTTGGCATGAGCTTCTGACAGCGGAGAATGCAGCATTCGGTGCACACTCACATTCACTGACACACACTCACTCACTGACAGACACACACACTCACTCACTTCCTCACATTCACTGACACACACACATTTTCCCCTAACACTTACAATTATTATTATTATTTTTTGTAAATTTAAATCCACCCAGCCTCCCTACTTTTGGGATAGCAGGGTCGATTTTTCACCTGGGGTCCAGTGGGGCTGCTGGGCAGGAAGGCGGCAGGTGGGTGCTCTAAGTTGTCAGCGAGGGAGCTGTGATATCTCTGCTCAGCTCCCTTGCGTGCCGCAGAGTGCTGCCTGGAGCCGGACTGGCATCATATTTCAGCTCCAGGCATCCCGGCATCACTGTGGGTTGTGCAACGGAGCTGAGCAGAGAGAGCGGCCAGCTCTTGGGCCCCCATAAAATGAGGCAAACAAGGCATTAGCCTGTGTATTTGGGGGTGGCGTTTGCGTCAGTGGCCCACCCTTTTACTGCACCAATTGACTTCCTACTTCGCTGGACACTACTGTTAGGAGGTATGGATTTATTTGAAAGATGAAAGCCAGATATTAGCATAGGATATGTGTTTTCTGATATCTATATCCTGTGAGTTTCCCTCCAGCACCATCTCCATCAGATACATGACGCTTGGGAGGTAATTTAGCATTTTCTGTTAATAAGATTCTGGAATTAGGCCAATCATAATTGTCAGCACCAGGCCCAATTGACTCTTAATCTGGCCCTGGTTCTTACCCTCTGCTGTAAATGGTCCCTGACTGCTGTCTAGATGTCTACCACCCACCCGATGCCCCCCTTTCCCCAATGACACACAGAGACCGTAATTAAGTTGGGTAAGGGCATCGGCCACAGCTTTATTTATTTTTTCCATGCCAGCAACATACTCATACTGTCAGCTGTTGGGGTGATTGCCCAACAGACAGGTCTATCCCCACAAACCATGAGTCCTGAGCAGCCTGCCTCCGCCATCAGCTCCCAACAGGCTGCGACTCCCCAAGCCTCCTCGGCAACTTCACCACTTCTGCCTGCGCTGGCCAGGACTCCCGCCACCGTGATGACGACTTCCCTTCACGCCTCCTGCCGTCATCGCGCCCCCCGCCGACAGCGCAGCCTCAATCCCACCCTGCAAACCCGTGTTCAGGATGTCTAACCCTATTTCATTTAAGTGGACCCCATCCTTTCTCATCAAGTTCTGGTTCTCTCCTTCCAGCTCCATGTGTCGGATGACCACCCCTCCTAGCCGCCGTACAAATTTCCCCACTGCGATGTTCAGCTTGCGCCGGCTCTTCTCCAAACCGCGAGAGTGCGGAAGCGCGCACCAGCACGGCCTGGAAACCACCTCCGACCAAACCAAGGTCATGTCTGGAAAGAGCGCCATGCACCTCGCCAAGTCGTGCCGAATCGCGTGGAGAAGGTCCACAGTCCTGGATACCCCTAAGTCGTTACCGCCCGCGTGGACCACCGCCACCACCGGCCCTGACACAAACTTACGCAGGGCCACGAACTCTGGATAAATTTGCTGCCACCGGAGGCCCCTAATGCCCTTCCACCTGACTCTAGCCACGTCCAACGAAAACCCCAAATTCCGTCCATAGGCCCGGCCTTCAGCTCGCCTAGCTGCCCAGTACACATAGGAATGCCCTATAATCCACACGTACCGGGGCCGACCACCTACAACGAGAAGAGGGTTACAGCATATGAGGTCGGACATAAGACTTAAAACGCCCCGACCCCCATCTTCCAATCCGTTGAATTCCCGCAGCCGAGTACCCCAATACACCCGCCTGGGTAGCTGCCCCGATCCGAAAGGAATGGGCCGAAAACCCGTGACCATCAATGCCACTCGCAACCAATGCTCTCTTCAGCATCGCCGAGAACTGATACTGGGTTAGAGGAGACCCGTCCACGTGAGCTAACAAAGGGCCTCCCCGCTCCGGGCGCACCTCCAGAAAAGCGCGGAAGGCCCCAACCGGACAAACTTCGTCCCTCGTGGCCCCCAAACGAACCCAGGCCCCCCGGACGCCTGGTCCGTCTTAGATCGCCGCACAAAAATATCGACGGTGGAAGTAGACCACCGCACATCTGACAATGCCAACGGCGAGGCCTTTCCCTTGCTCGGGGCTACAAACTCGCCGATGTGAAACGCACCAAAAAAGCAGACCGAGAAGGCCACGCGAAACAACTTCGATACGTACTCCAAACCACAGACCGTCGGTAGCACTAAAATAATCCGCCGCAACATTTCAGCCGAAATTGGGCAACGACCATCCGGGCGACGCCGCAGCCGCCAACCCTTGACCACCCTCTGAATCCCATATTCCTTAGTAACATCCTGCCAGCCCATAAAGCGAAACAGGAATGACAGGGCAGCCAACGTCTTCTCCGCTGCAGCGCAGGACCTACCTCTCCTGACCAAGTCATCACGAGAGTCCTCTCCGCACGACCCGATTCCGTGGATACATCCCCGTCCCATGCTGATGACAGCCACTGCCTCCAAACTGCCCGGTATGCCTTCCAGACTCCGCCAAGGAATCCGATACCAAGCCCATCAGGCCTCGAAATCGAGCTTCCATAAGGAGTCTGGACACCGCAGACCGGTCCGCTGCGCCTCTGGCGCTGCCTCGCGAAACCGCTCCCACTGCAAGCGAGACAGTGCATCAGCCACCACGTTCTGAACACCCGGGACATGCTGCGCCCGCACCCAAACATTACACTTAAGACTAAGGAGCACGAGGTGACGGAGAAGAGCCAAAACTGGTGGAGACGAGGAGGACGAACGGGCAATCACATGAACCACACTCAAGTTGTCCGTGTGAAAGACCACCGTGTGATTTATCAGATCCTCGCCCCACAGCTCCAGCGCGACCACTATCGGAAACAGTTCCAAAAAGGTCAAATTCCTCCTCAGGAAGGAAGACCGCCAATCCTCCGGCCACTCCCCCGCGCACCACTGACCCCGAAAATAGGCTCCAAAACCAACGGACCCCGAGGCATCGGTAAAGAGATCCAACGCGGCATTGGAGGTGGCCTCCCTCAACCAGCAAGAATGCCCGTTATAACTACGTAGGAAGGAGCTCCACACCGTCAGATCCGACCGGAGGCGCCTCGTGATCCGAATGTAATGGAAGGGTTCCCTCACCCCCACCATGGGCAAGGACAATCTGCGACAAAATGCCCGACCCATCGGTAACACTCGACATGCGAAAACCAAGTGCCCCAAAAGGCCCTGCATCTGTCGCAACTGAACCTTCTTGGAACCTTTGACCAAGTCCACTAGCCGAAGCAACCCCTCCAACTTCTCCTCAGGAAGCCGGAAGACCATGCTCTCGGTATCGATTTCGATACCCAAGAACGAAAGAACCAACACCGGGCCGACCGTTTTTTGTTTGGAAACAGGAACCCCGAACTCCGACGCTACCCGCCGGAAGGCCCGAAGCAACGCCATACAATCCTGGGAACCCGACGGACCGACAAACAAAAAATCGTCCAAGTAATGGGTCAAGGACCCCAAACTCGAAACTCTAGACGTGACCCACTCCAAAAAGGAAGAAAACAGTTCGAAATAAGAACAAGATATAGCGCAACCCATGGGCATGCACATATCATAATCGAAGCAACCGTTCGCCAAACACCCCAACAAGTGAAAACAATCCGGATGAACTGGCAACAAACGAAAGGCCGATTCAATATCCGATTTTGCCAATAAAGCCCCACGACCTGCCCGCCGCAGGAGGAACAAGGCCGAGTCGAAGGACGCATAACGCACCCTGCACACATCCCTGTTGATGTCATCGTTGACCGACGCCCCCGAAGGGTACGAGAGATGGTGAATCAACCGAAAAGTTCCCGGGTCTTTTTTGGGTACCAGACCCAACGGAGACACCCTCAGGTTGTGGAATGGGGGGGAATCAAAGGGAACGGCCATGCGGCCCCGTTGAATCTCCGCCTCCAGCTTTTCTTGCAATAAACCCTCCCTACCCCGCGTGGACCGAAGATTCCCAGCAAACCGGCCCTCGTCCGACAGCACAAAAGGAATCCAGAAACCCATTGTAAAAAAGGCTGGCGACGTCCCTCTTAGGATACTTGCTTAACCAGGGACGCATCTTTTCCACGCTCACCGGCGTCCTCGCCGCGAGGAACGTCGTCCCTACCAGAGCCCTTGGCGGCAGACGGTCTGCCCTTTTTGAAACAACGGAGAGCCGGGTGGGCTCCCCCACAATGGGCACACTCGTGCCGGAATCTACAAGAGCTAAACCACTTACAGTGGCTCTCGTTGAAGAGCCAACAAACTCCCTTCCGCTGACCTGCCGACGTCCCCGTGGGGACGCCGGCAGCCCCCAAAAGGGGGAGGGTCTACACGGGGTCATCAGTAGCAGCCACAGGCTGCCGTCCTGCACCCCGAAGCCCATGCCCGGACATGCCGCCATCTTCTGGCGGAATTGCTGGTCGTATTTGAACCAGCACTGTCCCCCATAAACCTTGTAAGCGCCCCAAATTAGATCCAAATAACCAAATAACGAGGGGGCCCTCTCTGGGAACTGACGCACTAGCACGCTAGCAAAGATATTAAATCCCTGCAGCCAATTACCGAACGTACGCCGGATGGCCTTACCCTTCTCTCCGTCCAGTTGTTCACCACGGCGCGGCATGTCCACAGACTCCTTGTCCGGCGGAACCAGAGAAAGGAGATCCACATACTCACGCCGAATAATCTTCTCCTGCACCTCAGCAGGCACGTGTAAACCTAAAGGAGCCAGTTCACACCCCGGGAGAAAGGAACCAACCCCCATCCCCTGCCCCCTCAAACTATCCGTACTACCCGAACCCTGAACCCCTAGACCACTGCCCCTGGCTTGACCCTCCACTAAAAGCCTCAGCAGGCGCAACACCTCACTATCCTGACCTGATCCCCCTGCCGAACCCCAGGCGCCAGCGCATGCCAACTCACCAAATGAGGGGAGGCGCAGGGGCCGTTCTCCATCAGCTTCACGCTCCTCCTCGGACTCCTCCACCTCTCCGGAATCACCCTGAAGCCTCCCAGCTCCCAGGGGGGCTGCAACCGACACGGCCTCCCGACCGCCGGCATCCTGGCAGCCCTGCAACCTTGGTCCGCAGCACCCCGTGAACTGCCCGGTCCTGGGGACTCCCATCTCCTTGGGGCTGCTGTCCGGGTCACAGCACCCCTATTTCCGGTCTCTTCTGCCGGCGCCTGCCATCTCCAGGCGCCCGGCCTGCTATTTCCATCACGGGCACCCACTTCCGGGTTTTGCCCGTCGCCGGCAGATGAGGTCACATCCGGCGCGCCGGCCGGGAGAGAAGGCGGCGGGCTCCTCGACCTTCCCACCATGCCGCCATCTTGGGAATGGCTGCCGGAGGCCACCGCAACCCTCACCTTGGACCGGACCGCTCGGGGGGACGACCCAAGGCTCTGCTCCACATCCCCAGCCACACCAGTCCGTCTACGCCTGCGGCCTTCTCGCTCTCCTCTCACCGGGCTGGGAGACAGTCGCGACGGCGGCCTTGAACGCCTGGCCCGCCGCCCCTCATCCACTGGCCTTGCCTCTTCACCTGGGACACTGTCCACACTGGCCAATACCGCTGCCAACGAGCCTGCACCATGTGCAGCCCGGTAAGCCTGCAACAGGGCCACCAACGATTCCTGGGAAACTTCCATCAGACAATCAGGAAAAACAGGTAAGTTAAAGACTGAATAATAATCGAGTTTTTTGTTTTTTTTGTTTTAAGGGGGTCAGCCAAGAAGGACAGATGAAGGACAGATGAAAGTCAGGATCCCTGCACTTCCAAAAGCTGACTGGTAAGTCCCCTCCCCTAACTGTGCTTATAACTGTCTTCCATCTTAGCAACTATGTATCCATCTATACCCCTCCCTTCCACTACTCCTTCAAGACTCCTTATCCTAGCCGCAGTCATGTCCCCCCTTCCTTGTCAGTCCAGGGAGGTGTCTTTCCTATTAGTGACCGTAAGAGAGCATCTATAGTTATTTGTACCCATTTCCTCGGTAATTTGAGACCCGTAAGGGAGGGTTCTAATGGTGGCGCCAGCTCTGAATTCCACTTTAACTATTGAGAGCATGAATACATATTATACCATGTATACACATATAAAATAAAATAAGGAAGGTGATTAACATTATCCAGTGTTGCAGCACACAGGTAATATCCAATTCATAATATGCCATTCAAGGCATTTAGCAACAGAACATATTTTAAAGATATAGTTACTATATTCCAACCATGAGCCCATTAGCGTTACTTTAATTAATTAGGCCAGCTATCAGGCTATGTATGCTGGCGTATAGAGATTCTGTAATAAAACTGTTATAATATAAAGAAATGTCAGGAGATATCTCTACAGCGCTCACTGGCTATCTAACTGACTTGGCATAAAAGAGATTCAATGGCTGGATCTCAGCTCACGCACTCTTTCAAGTTTATATTGGTCTGTGTATAATGTACTGTCTTTCCCCCCCAACTGTACAGCGCTGCGGAATATGTTAGGGCTTTACAGATGGATATAATAATAAAATAACATACATCAAAACAAACTCTGCCAGCTGATTCATTAATAATACCCAGTGAAGTCAAATTAAAATTAACCTTTAAAAGTTTACAATAAAAAAAACAACCATAAAGGGTGATGGACTGGCCAAGCATGTCCCCAGACCTAAATCCTATTGAGCATCTGTGGGGCATCCTCAAAGGGAAGGTGTGGCGAAACCAACCTCGCCACTGTCCACTGGAGAAGCCTGGTTGCCGGCCTCCTACCTGCTGACTACGGCCCCTGGTAAATTTGTACTTTGAAATAACTGATTTGGTCATGTTGTATTATATTATGCTGCTACTGGCCCTTTAAGAACCATCTGGGGACATACTGTGGAGTTACTGGGTGGCCACCATTTCCTGTATCAGAAGCACATGGTGAGAACAATGGATGGCGGCCATTTTAACTCACAGACACTGTTTGGACTTTTCAACACGGTGCCATCTCGGCGGTATTTGGTGCACAGAGACATCGTGCGGTGGTTTTGGACTGTACAACAGGGGACACATTATACAGTAATTGTTTTTCATTTAGCCTGCATATGTTCTGCAGAATCTGCATTAAACTGTATTTTCCAAAGTACTGAACGGACCTGGGTGAATTTTGGATATGTGGTTCACCCAGATCCACCGGTTCCAATGATATACTTTTTATGGGGTTATTGCATGTTTTGGGGTCCCTGTGATGTGTTTTAGGAAACTGTATTTCTCTGTCTGTGATAATTAGATTAACCATTGTGTTCAGTAATCATATCACAGGCAGAGGGGAGGATTTTGTGTGGGAGTGTCTGTGTGTATTGTACAGATTGATTGGTTGTTCTGTAAAACCCTGTGGGCAGTACTAAATTTGTGGATTGGGAATAAAAGAGGCTGTATGTGCCAGTACAGTCAGTTCCTGCTTAACCCTCAAACTGAAATGTCGTCTCGTTATTGGGGGATTTGGATTGTATGCCGATTGCCAGGAGCGTAAGCTGAGTGTATGTTTTTCCTGTTCGGCTGTTTCCCAGATTCATGTGTTTCCTGTTCGGGAGATTGGTGATTGCAGTATATCTGGAAAGGGGATTATCGCCTAAACGGTTTTTAACCTCTGGTAAGCGAAACGGTCCGTTACAGAAGGTGGGGAAGCGCAAGGTCTCGAACATCCACCAGCTCCGTGATGTCGTCATGGAGGAGTGGAAGAGGACTCCAGTGGCAATCTGTGAAGCTCTGGTGAATTCCATGACCATGAGGGTTAAGGCAGTGCTGGAAAATATTGACACTTTGGGCCCAATTTTGGACATTTCCACTTAGGGGTGTACTTACTATTGTTGCCAACGGTTTAGACATTAATGGCTGTGTGTTGAGTTATTTTGAGGGGACAGCAGATTTACTGTTATACAGGCTGTACACTTACTACTTTAAAAAATAGAGAAAAGAAACCGCGCCCAAATAGTATGTATAAATGATAAATATACGTACACAGATTTGTAGGATGGAATGTACTTAACACTGTAACGGAACCGCTGGCACCCCGACCGGGTACCTTCCGCCGACGGATGCTCCTAGTGCTTTCCGAGGACTCCAAGCACTCTGCCTGACACCATAACCACTGCAGACCCCACGAACCGCCGCAGCTTGGTTGGGATCTCGCCGTCTCCACCCACTCTGGACCCAGGACCAGGGTCCAGCTTCCAGCAGGTCGACCTCTCTCCGAATTCCAGAGAGCAGGAACAGGAACAAGCTCTTAGCAGAGCTTAGTGATTATACCCTGGGGAGTATAGTGATTATAGCAATCCCCAGAGTGTAGTTTCTCCAATCCCCCAAACATGAGCCGAAACTTCATGAAGGTACAAGATGATCTGACTCCAATGAGCGTTTATTACTCCTTATATACAAGTTTTCAGGTCAGAGGCACACCCCCTGGACCTGGTGGTAAACTGTGACAAAAGGGACACAAACCAATGGGAACACTAATTAACATGATAACACTCTCACATACACAATGAAATCCCTCCTCTCCATCCTGGAGATAATTGGCTTAAGGCACTGCAGTAAACTCAATTATCTCCAGGTACAGAAAATATCGACATTTAACACTAACAGCAAAATACGTAAAAGTACATAAAAATACTTAATTCTTATTTTATTACACAGAATGCCCACATTTAACCTATCCACAGATAGCTCGGATCTAAGCGCCCAATCTAGGTGAACAGCGCTCAGATCCCATGAACAGAGTAGATTTTCCATGGGGTAAAGCATAGCAAGGGCTGTTGAGAAACCAAGGAGGGACAAAAGCAGTCAGTTCCAACTGGTTTGGCAGTGTGTCTGGGACAATGCCCTGCTGGAGAACAATAGACAGGAAACGGGGGAGGGGAAGAAACACACCTTCCCATGGATTCAAATGGGAAGAAACTGTCTTTCAAAGCCAATAAGCCCCAAATAGTCTTTTTAAATGGCAATACACCCCAGGGCCATAGTCATGAGGAAGGAGGCTGGCAAACAGGCTCCTCCAAAAGCCGGGGGCAAAGGGCAGCTTGTCACCTAACAATCCAGGGACAAAAGGCATTTCGTCACAAACACCTCAAAGAAAACAGAGATAAAAATAATAGTGCAATACAATATGTGCAAATCCAAAAGAGACGTGTGGTCTATAGTAATTCCACTCACATTTGTATGAGCTATATCAGAGCTCAGCTGTATCAGCGCTTGGACGGAATAATCCCTGTCTAAGGATATGAGCAGGTGCAGCTGTCCAGAAAGCTCGGATGGATGGCAATATGCAAAACAGAAGAATGTTTTCCAATGGTGAAATAAGTAAGATTAAAATAAAAATAAATATAAAGTAAAAGTGGTTATAGTACTCACATTTACTAGAGCAGAGCTTGCTCTAGTATATATAGCCATGGGCGCCTGCAGGGGGGGCAAGAGGGGGCTCTTGCCCCCCCCCCCCTGGATTTTTCAGCTTGTTCTGCTACTTTTCGTGTGATTGAAAATGAACTGCAATACCGGCGCTGGCAAGTAGGTGGCGCTGTATATGGAGAGAGACAGGGATAGGAAGTTACATATTATCCCTGCTTCTCTCTGCTGATTGAAACCGCAGGGGAACAACACATGCAGCCACAGACAGTCACAGATCAGGTAAGAGTGAGGGATGGGGAGGTTTGAGATAGCCTGGGTGGGGAGTGAGGAGGCTGGGGGCAGCAGCCTAGATTAGGGTGAGGCCACAGGGGGGCAGCAGCCTGGGTAGGGGAAGTGAGGCTGGGAGGCTGGCAGCCTGTAGGTGGGAAGTGAGGCTGGGGGCAGCAGCCTGGGTGGGAGGCAAGGCTGGGGGGCAGCAGGTGGGAGGTGAGGCTGGGGGCAGCAGCAGGTGTTAGGAAGTGAGGATGGGGCAGCAGCCTGGGTAGAGTGAGGCTGGGGGGGGCAGCAGCCTGGGTGGGAGTGAGGCTGGGGGCGCCAGCCTGGGTGAGGTGAGGCTGGGGAGCAGCAGTCACAGGTGGGAGTAGAAGAGGCTGGGGGCAGCAGCCGTTAGAGTGAGGCTGGGGGCAGCAGCCTGGGTGGGGTGAGGCTGGGAGGCAGCAGTCAGGTGGGAGGCGAGGCAGAGGGCAGCAGCCCATGGAGGTGAGTAGGTGAAGAGAGGCTGGGGGGCAGCAGCCTGGGTGAGGCAGGCTGGGGGGGGGCAGCAGCCTGTAAGATAAGGTGAGGCTGGGGGCAGCAGCCTGGGTAGGTGGTAGCGAGGCTGGGGAGGCAGCAGAATGCCGTTAGGGAGTGAGGATGGGGGCAGCAGCCTGGGTGGGGAGTGAGGCTGGGGGCAGCAGCAGGTGAGGTAGAGAGCTGGGGGGCAGCAGCCCATGGGTGTGAGTGAGGAAGCTGGGGGCAGCAGCCTGGGTAGAGGTAGAGGCTGGGGGCAGCAGCCTATAGGTGGAGTGAGGCTGGGGGCAGCAGCCTGGGTGAGGCTGGGGAGGCAGCAGAATGGGTAGGGGAGTGAGGATGGGGTAGCAGCAGCCTGGGTGAGGTGAGGCTGGGGGCAGCAGCCTGGGTAGGGAGTGAGGCTGGGGAGGGGGCAGCAGCCTGGGGCAAAGGAAGTGAGCTGGGAGGGCAGCAGCCTGGGTGAGGTGAGGAGGCTGGGGGGGGCAGCAGCCTATGGGTGGGAGTGTGAGGCTGGGGGCAGCATCCTGGGTGGGAGTGAGGCTGGGTGGGCAGCAGCCTGGCAGGTAGAGGTGAGCTGGGTGGGCAGCCTGCGATTAAAGTTAGAGATAGAGGCAGCAGCCTGGGTGCTTGAGCAGGTAGGCAGCTTCCGTTAAAGTGAGGTGAGGCAGCAGCAAGATTAGAGGCTGAGGCAGCAGCCTGGGTGAGAAGTGAGGCTGGGGGGCAGCAGCCTGGTGGAAGTGGCTGGGGGCAGCAGCCTGGGTGAGTAGGTGAGGCTGGGGGCAGCATGAGGTGAGATGAGGCAGCAGCACATAGATTAGGGAGTGAGGCTGGGGCAGCCTGGGTGTAAGGTGAGGGATGGGGGCAGCAGCCTGGGTGGAGTGAGGGATGGGGCAGCAGCCTGGGTGGGGAGTGAGGCTGGGGGGCAGCAGCCCCTGGGTAAAGTGTGAGGCTGGGGCGGCCTGGGTGGGAGTGAGATGGGGGGCAGCAGTCTGGGTGGGAGTGAGGGATGGGGGCAGCAGCAGCCTGGGTGGGGAATGAGGGGGCAGCAGGATAGATTAGAGTGGGGGCGGCGGCAGGTGGGAGTGAGGCTGAGGGGGGCAGCAGCCTGGGTGAGGTGAGGCTGGGGGCACATTAGCCTAGATTTAAGGGGTGAGGCTGGGGGCAGCAGCCTGGGTAGAGGTGAGGCTGGGGGCAGCCTGGATTGGGAGAGTGAGGCAGGGGCAGCAGCAGGTGGGGAAGTGAGGCTGGGGGCGGCAGCCTGGGTGGGGTGAGGCTGGGGGCAGCCTGGGTGAGGTGAGGCTGGGGGCAGCCGGTGGGAAGTGAGGCTGGGGGCAGCAGCCCAGGTGGGAAGTGAGGCTGGGGGCAGCAGCCTGGGTGGGATGAGGATAGGGGCCAGGAGGCTGGGGGACAGGCCAGTGTGAGGCAGCCAGTGTGAGGCTGGGGCAGCCACAGGGTGAGATGAGAGGCATGCCTGGGCCAAAGGAGGCTGAGGGGGGCATGGCCAGGAGGCTGGGAGGGCAGGCTGCAGGGCAGGGAGGCAGAGGACCCGGGGCGGCAGCTGCTGGGCAGGGGGCAGGCGCAGGGAGGCAGCGGCCTATAGGTAGGAAGTGATGAGGATGGGGGCAGCAGTCTATAGATTAGGAGTGAGGATGGGGAGCAGCAGCCTATAGGTAGAAGACTGAGGCTGGGGAGGCAGCAGCCCATAGATAGGAGTGAGAGGCTGGGGAAAGGGGCAGCAGCCTATAGGTGGGGAGTGAGGCTCGGGGGGGGCAGCAGCCTATAGATTAGGGGAGTGAGGCATGGGGGGGCAACCTATAGATTAGGGAAGTGAGCATAGGCGTGCGCAGCCTATTGCATTATGGTGTGCACCCTAAAGCACAAACACACGCCATGTGTATATATATGTGTGTATGTATGTGTATATATATATATATATAGAAATAAAGTTGTGGACTTTCCTAACAAGAATTCAATCCTTAAAGGAGAAACTTATTTCGGAACCCACAACAAAACCTGTATGGACACTCCAGTTATGTCCAGGAGCTTAACCCCTATGTAAAATCAAAAAACGAGGAAAGGGGCTTAAATGTTGGATAAACAAATCCAACAATTAAGCCAAAACTGGAAAAGTAATAATGATATAAATGAAAATAAATGATTGATCAAATAGTTATTCCAAATCTCTACTTAAGTAATAGTGTGCTACTCAAACCAAAATTGTGTTAACAGCCAAAAAAAAGGGGCTATACCTCCCTCATAACATACTGTGACTGTAATATATCTCCGACTATTTGACTTTAATATAACTTGTTAGGTCACAGTCTGTGCTATATTGTCCTAATATTATGGAAACAGTCACAGAAAGAAAGTCCTGATTCTAAATAAGTCTGTCTATCAAAATAGACTAAAGTAATCAATTAAGTTTGTCTCGCAAAATGCTAGAGAAAATGCTCCAGAGTAAAGTAAATAAAGAAAGAGATTGTATAAAATACCTAA